GCTTGATGATGTACCCCAGGAACTCGACTGTCTTGGTGTGGAACTCACACTTCGACAGCTTAGCAAAGAGCCTGTTGCTCCTTAAGCGAGTGAGGACCTCGGTGACATGCTTCACATGTACCTCTTCAGTGTCACTGAAGATCAGGAAGTCATCTAAGTATACCACTACATATACTCCAATGATGTCTCGGAAGATGTCATTGATGAATGACTGGAAGTGAGCCGGAGCATTGGCTAGGCCAAAGGGCATCACTAGGTACCCATAGAGTCCCAACTGAGTGCCAAAAGCTGTCTTCCATTCATCTCCTTTAGCAATCCGGATGAGGTTGTATGCTGCTCTAAGGTCTAGCTTGGTATAGATCCTTGCCTTCCTGAGTAAGAACAGCTGCTCCTCGATGAGGGGCAATGGTGCCCTGTTCTTGACAGTGATCTCGTTGAGACCTCTGTAGTCCACACAGAGTCTGAGACCTCCATCCTTCTTTGGTACAAAGAGCACTGGTGATCGTGCCAGGCTCTTCGATGGTCTTATGAACCCCTTCTTGAGGTTCTCATCCAAGTACCTCCTCAACTCGGACATCTCCTTGGGTCCCTTGAGGTATAGGGGCCCTTGAGGTGGCTTACCTCCTTCTATCAACTCGAGGTGGAGATCATGCTTGGTATGATGGGGCAGCTTGTCTACTTCCACCTCATTGAACACATCTCGCAGGTATTGGTATGGCTTTGGTATGTCTGCAGCCGTCACCACCTTGTCTACCTCCACCTCCATCTCGACTCCTTTGTCTGCACCTGTAGGTACAAAACCAAAGGCCAGGAGTGATGATGGTGGCTCCTCCAACAGCATGAACCCTATGGGTCCATCTTCCAGAGCTGCTCGTAGTATGCACTCTGCTGAGACAAACTCGTTACCATGAAGGGTTGGTCTCCTCATGGTTAGGTCCCCTGCTCTTGCTGCTTCAGGGGGTCTCCTTGGGGGTCGGTCCTGCTCCTGAGTCTTGAACTCCAGCTGGCCCGTATCCCATTGTATGGTGGGTTTGAGCCTCTGTAGCTCAGTGAACCCCAGGATGAGGTCATAGTCAGCAGTGTCGGCCACTGAAGCTTCAACCACACCCAGATTGTGTGTACCAATAGATACCTGCATGCTCGCAGAACTATTGATGGAGAGTTGGTGCCCGGTGACACCATGGATCGATCTTGTTTTTATGGGTTTTGTGGGTATTTGGTACTTACTAATGAAAGAATCTGAGACTATGGACAAACCAGCACCGGTATCAGCTAGTATCCGAGCAGGATGGTCTTGAACCATTCCAGAGAGCTCCAGTACTGCTTTGCCTCCACTGGTAGAGAAACATACTTGACAATCTTGATATATACAGAGTGATGGCGAGGAGGTTTGTAGAGCAATGCATGCCATCAGTGCATCACCCCACTGACGTTTCCCTCGTCGTCATCATCATCGTGCTCCTCCTCGTGATCGGGGTCCATGGGTTGCTGGTATGAGCTGAGGTCCATGGCCTCGGGGTCACCCGTCTCAGTGCTGCCTGTGTGGCCATCTCCTGAGTCGGTGGCCTCCTCGAAGGGGTCTGCTGTGGTGACCATAACCTTTGGTCCCATGGGTCGAGAGCTAAGAGGGTTTACCCTCCTGCTGGGGCAGTCTCTGGCCCAATGGCCGATACCTTTGCATACATGACAGGTGTTGATACCTGATGGAGCAGGGCTTCCTTGCTTCGAGGGTTGGGTGGGATGATGAGGAAGGGGTCGGTTTAGGTTTTGTATAGTTGCTTGTGTAGTTGCTTGTGATGGTGATCGAGCTGGATAAGGTTGAGTGGGTTGTCGGATGGGGATTGAACTTTGATTTGGCCGAGACCCAGTTCTTAGTGGAGGTGACGTGGCATTTGGAAGTGAGTGTCTAGCCGAGGACTGCTGTAGTAGCATCCTCTGTCGATCGATCTCCTCGACCTCTCGATACCACTCCCATCTCTTCCCAGGTGGATTCCTCTCGAACTTCTCCTGTATGCTACGAGTGAGACTACCTCTGAAGAGATCAATCACTAGCTCATTGTCATCTAGGTTGACCTGTCCTTCCAAGTCTCTGAACCGCTCTACATGACGTGTGGCGGCACCAGGAGCATCACTTGTGAGTCTGAGAGCCAACAGCTTGTTGTATGCCTCCATCCTAGCATTGCGTGGGTTGAACTGCTCTGACAGTCGCTCTGTGAAGTAGTGCCAATCATTGAACAACCTTCCTTCTCTAGCTCTATCAATACGGAGCTTGGAGGTCCACCACTCTCTTGCTGTCCCTTCCAGTTGAGCACCCATGTGATTGATCATCCTAGACTGCTCATACACCTGGTTGAACTTAAACCATGCTTCAGCTTCTAGAATGAAGATCTCCATGTCTCGGGGATTGAACTTTGGAAAGGGGGTGGCAATGGGCTTTGACCGGTTAAGCTCTGCCATGATGCTGGTATCCTCCTCGTGGTCCAGGGGGTAAGGGTCCGTCCTAGTCCTGCTGTAGGGGTCCAGCTTAGTCTTGACATATCTTGGCCCAGTAGGTGAAGCATACTTCTCGTAGTTGATGTCCTCCTGCTCCTCCAGGTTGAATGAGACTGATCGTCTTGGTCGTGGAGCTGGAGTAGGAGTATGTGGGTCTCCTATTATAGACTCATCTCCTCCTCCTGCTTGGTCTTCTGAGTGAGAGAGGTCCATTGTCTCCTCCCTGCTCAGTTGAGCTCGTTGTAATCGTTCCTCTCGATGACCCTGTCTGGTAAGCTCTAGCTGTGCTTCCAATAGAGTGAGTAGTCTATCGAGCTTATTGTTGAGGTCTGGGTCCGTCATGGTGATCGTGAGGAGCTGCTTGAACGATCCACTCTAATGTCAGGGGTCTCGCGCCTGAAACCCAGGTCGGTCTGTCGAGATACTCGGTGACTATTAAACTGTGTGACAGCTATTGTCTCGGTATCGGTGACTATCAAGTTGTGCAGTGACAGCAGGTGGCGTTCGTTGTATATACTATCGTAGGTTTCGGCTGACCTCTGTGGACACTCCGTTCAGGGGTAGCTCGGCACGATCAATATCAATGTTATGATGACACCAAGGTCTGGTGTGGGTGTTGATGATGTTGAGGTTGATGGTGTTGGTGATGAGATTGGTGATGTCGATGATAATGAGGTTGATGGTGTTGATGATAAGGTTGGTGATGTCAATGATAATGAGGTTGATGGTGTTGGTGATAAGGTTGGTGGCGTCAACACGAGTGTCCAGTGTGTTGACTTGATGCTTTGAAGTGATCCCCGGACCGCAGTGGACTACTGCCTTCGGTTCTATCTATATCCGGACCGCTAACCTGCTATGGGCGCCTTCGGACGTCAGGTAGTGGTGATACAACACACACACTACGATGAGGAGCAACCTTGATAGATTGCTGCTATGCTGACTGTAACTAATGAGTACTTGTGTTTCTAAAGTATTGACTAGTTGTATGGTGAGTAGAGTGGATGAGGATCCACTCGACCTATTGATGAGAAAGCATGGTTATATACCTCTTCTCAGCATCGCCAGCGATGCTGCTCCTGCTCTCTCTCCAGAGAGTACCTTCTTCATCGAGTACTGCTCAGGGGCCTCTCCTGCTTGGCACCCCTGTGCCTCTTGAGCTGTGTCGACTCCTTCGACACTGCTCCTCCTCCTCATGACCTGGTGTCGACTCCTTTGACACTGCTCCTCCTCCTTTGATCAGTGACAGTTCCTTTGGCTCTTGTCTCTCGAGCCCCTGAGTGGTAACCATCTGCATGCTCCTTGAGCTTGGTCCTCTTCGTGGCTGTGCCTGCTCCTTGAGCTTGGTCCTCCTCGTGGCTGTGCCTGCTCCTTGAGCTTGGTCCTCCTCGTGGCTGTGCTTGGCCCTCCTTTGCATGTGAGTCCATAGGAGTCCATGGTCTCTATGGAGACTGCACTATGACCATGCTCTCTACTGGTGTCGACTAGGTCTTCGATACCTGTGCTCCTTCCATATGAACCCATGACCCTCCTGCTTCTTGAGCATCCAGGCCCATGACATGACCCTCCTGCTTCTTGAGCATTCAGGCCCATGACAATGTGCTGGGCAGCTCAGATGTCTGAGACAGATTCACTAAACCTTCTCCAATGGTAAGGTCCATCTCCAAGAGGTATGGATTGACATATCTGGTGTTGTGGCGATGACTGGTGGACAGGCAATGATTGGTGGACATGATTTAGTTGAGGCCAGAGAGAGAGGTTGTGAGATGGTAGCTAAACAAAAAGAAACTTCTACTCTGTGTGAAAAGGGACAAGGAGAGGAGTCAAGTGAAAGGGTTTTGTGCAGACAAAAGGGTTCATGTGAAGAAAGCTGCACAGGAAATGTGGAGGTATTTGTGCAAGTAAATCATGTGCAGCATCACATGCAACATCATGTGAGTGAAGACTCAGGTCCAATTCTGAAAACACTGCTGCAACTGTCCAGCTGAAGCAGTGTTTTCAAAAATTAGAGTATTTTCCAAAATGGCAGAGCTTACATAAGAAATGAATATTCGACACAAGTGAAAACTCAAAAAAAACATGAGTTTCCAAAAAATTAAAATTAAAAAATAAAAAATAAAAAAACTGAAACCCCCTACTCTCACTTCAGTCATTTGAGTAAACACGTTTCTGTCCTAAAAACAGCAGTGACATCGTACTCAGACTCGCCCCGATCACCAGCCATCGGGACTAAAACTTTATCAAAATCTAGCTTCGACTGCAATCGACGCACAGCCCGTTCACAGGCGAACCGACACCGACACAGACTGGATGTTGGAAGATGCTTAGTTAGTATGACAGTCTGTATGCGTCAAGCATCATGAGCGTCACCTCAAGGCTAATTCGCTCTCCCTTGGCGGTGCATTCTTGATATCACTCTGAAGATGGTTGCAAAGAAGACCACGATGTTAGAACAATGAAATGCAAATAAGTTCTGAGATCTGCTACGAATCTGTGATGATGCCGGTTCCTCATTGCGCGGGAGCAGACCGAAGCTCCTTGGCCATCTGAGCTTCCTTTCCGCTCAACAAACCTTCAGCTCTCTGTCCTCCCTGTGTCGCCTCATCGACCACATCGCTCAGATCTTCAACTTCAGCGGCACCCTCTGCGCCATCATCTCCCTCATCCTCGCCCACCTCGTCGATAACGAATGCGGATCGTTCTTGCAAGAGCGCTTCCTGTGCTGCACGTAGCGCTTCTGCCGCTGCCTTCGGGCCTGCTGTCGACAAGTCGCTTCCACGAAGACTGATCCTCTTGTCCACTTTTGATGTCTGTGATGATTGCTTTTCCAACGTTCGTCCTCGTTCTTCCTGTGACCCTGATGGTGAGGTGGCCGACGTCGGTGTTGCACCTGCTGCAGCCTTGAGATCCTGTGTTGATTGGGTACGTGCTGGCGCCCGCAATGCATTAAAAAGACGATTGCCCAGTGTTGACTTGCGCTCTTCCGCGGCCTTCCTTCTCTCCTCTGCCTCCTTCTCCCTCAGCTCCTGCGTGTCCATCTTGCCTCCATCCAACGTCGAATTCCTGCCAAATGACGGCCTTGGTCCTGTCACAGTATGCGTCTGCAGCCTCTGCCCGACTTGATCTGCCAGCTGGTTCATCTTTGCTTTACCCTCCTCACCCAATAGGTTGCCAAGGAAGCCAACAACCTTGCCTCGTGCACCAGTGGTGACATCACGACTATAGGTGGCTTCGCTTGTTGCCCAGCTGTTCTCCTTACTTGCTCCGGGTACTGCTCTTGGTGCGCCTGGCAGACTGGGCGCGGTGTGCCATGCGTAAGCGCCTCCGCTCTGGGATCGTTCGACAGGTTCGAGGTAGAAGGATTCGGTGAGGTCGGATTTGAAGAAGGATTCGAGCACGGGTGAAGAAAGAACGAGCATGCGGAAAGAGGCGAGCGATAAGAACGGCACATCTTGGCCGATGGTATCTGACGGAGTTTTGCTGTCTTTGACCTCCTTGGACGCTGCAGCTGCTGCAGCCCCTCCTTTTGAGTCCTCACCACCTTCGTTGCTAGGCTTGGTAATCTTGTCGGTATCGCCCTTGCTTTCAGCCTCCGTTTTCAGCTTGTCTGCACGGTCGACTGCGATCTCCCAAAGTGCTTCGGAGGCACGATCAAGTTCTGCTTGCCACTCGTCGGTGCCTTCAGCGCACACGTCGCCCTTGGGCAGATCCGAGGCTGATTTGAGGTTGGCGGTCTTGTCGCCCAGGAGAGATGCAAGTTCTTCTGCTACTGCGGCTCTTGATCGACCTGCGACGTAGGTCACGAAGCGGAGTCCAGGGTATTTAGCCTCATATATCGCATTCAATCTTGCCAGCTCTGTTCGTTTGCAGTCATGATGCGGGTGACAAGACAGAATGAGATCAACGTCAAGGCCAGTCCAAGTGAGCTAGCCAGTGTGCGCATGTACTTACTTTCGAGAGTAGCAGGGTCGACCTGACCTCCCTTCATCTGCTCCTTTCGGCTCTCTTCGCTAAGCTCTGAAGTTGGCGCATTGAGTGGTGCGCCGATCCTTGGGTGTCCGCCGATGAACTTGGCACACCGTCCTACCTCCCATCCTGGCTCGTCTTCAACACAGAAGCGGGCGACATCGAGCAGACCTTCATATGACTCCGGTCGAGCGTCTTCTGGCAGGTCAGCGATGGCAGCTGCCGATTGCGACGCAAGATCAGGCAGAAGCTCTTTAGGACATTCTAGAAGACGTAAGAGGATGGGCGATAGCTGGTCAGGTGTCGCATTCGGGATCTGACCCGGGGGGATGCTGGATACTGCCATCGCGCTGCAGCCGCTTCTTGTGGTTGGAGCCGATGGAGCTTGATTCAACCTTGACAAATGATGCAAGGAGGATTTCGAGCTAGATGCTGTGAGATAGGGTAATCGTTAAGAGTCGTCGACAAGTGATAGTATTGAAGCAAGTGAAAGACCAACAACTCTGATTGTGCGTGTGGGCATGCACGGACGTTGAAGTGTGCGCTGTGCTGCCTCGCTTGCTGAAATTCGGCTCTGGCCGTTGAAGTTGGACCCTCGCGAAGATAAGTGAGCCGCAAAAACAAACGTGATCTAACAAAGACGCTCTGCACGAAAAAGGAAGAATTGAGACAGAGAGTGGACAAAGAGCAACACTCGACTCCACTCGTACCTCCATCCTCACCATCGCCTAAGCTCGTGTTCTTCAGCCATCGGCTCCTGCGACCTCCCTCACAGTCACACTCACCTAGGCATCGCCGCCATGTCAACATCATCATCTGCCATTGCAGGACCTTCGCAGTCCAGAGTGGAGACCAATTCACGTGGCATCCCGCACGCTCCATTCATCGTACGTATTCGCAACAACTTTTTCTTGGCAGCTCCGCTCCCAATGGTAGAGCGGCTCACTGACCTTCCCTATCTCCACATCTTCGGTTGATCACACTGCAGTCCAATGTGCAGGAATACCTCGGTGGGCCGGATGAGGATGTCGAGCCAACATTGAAAAAGTTTCAGGAGACCATGTCCAAGTACAAGTTCATGGAGCTCAACACAGCTCAACGACGTCGAGGCCTCGAAGAAAAGATTCCAGACATTCACAAAACCCTCCAAATGGTCAACTTCTTGAAAGAAAAAAAGGATGATCCAGAATCGATAGAGACTACGTTCGAGCTGAACGACACCCTCTTTGCAAAGGCTAAGCTCGATCCTGTCGACAGCGTCCACTTATGGCTAGGAGTAAGTGCTTCAACCTGTTCCCAATTGCTACTCCGAAGCGCATGTGATGCTGACCACCTCATCCATCTTACCCTTATCTGTCTTCTCATACGCTGCCGCTGCAACAGGCAAACGTCATGCTGGAATATCCGATCGACGAAGCCATCTCCCTGCTAACCAGCAAACTCTCTGGTGCCGAAAAGTCACTCGCATCCTCCAAAGAAGACCTCGACTTCTTGAGAGAACAGATTACCATCATGGAAGTCAACACGGCTCGCGTACACAACTGGGATGTCAAGCGTCGTCGCGAACGTAGAGAACAGCTCGAACGAGACGGTCTCACAGAAGAAAAGGACGCTGCCAAGGCGTCACAGGCGTCGTGAGTCTCCTTCTCCCCCTGTATCACCACTTGTCATTGGCAAATCAAAGCGCAAAAAGCAAACCCAACAGAACTGTGACTGAAACGAAAGCGCTCTTGTTTGTGTTTGATGCGGGACAACAGCAGGTGGCTTTCGGACGATCGTGATACCAGTGAGCGCCCGGCTTTAAGTAGGAATGAGACGGGGGAAGAATCAAGCCGACGAGGCGTAGCGGACGCAATCAAGGATCAGCAGCACGCGGGAGGGACAGAGAGCAAAGCAGCGGACAAAGCCTCGACAATGGCGACAGAGCAGCAAAGCGAATCAGATACCCAAATACCGAAAGCTCAGTCGATTGAGAAACCGGATGACAACGCAGCAACAACGAAGATTGACGAGGCAAATGGTTCCACAGGTACAGCGACATGGGGCCAAAAGCCAGACGCTGCTCAGTCGACCTCAACCTCGAGCACCGAGACTGTCACCAAGTCCGCACCAGCCGAGCCTAACGCACCATCTGTTTCACCTGCCAGCTCCTCCAACCCCAACCCCATAGACCGCATCAGCAACCTCCCAACATCCCTCACATCTCCAGCAGCAGGCGACCTCGCATCATCCACCACCCTCATCGTACCTCCACTCAACTTCTCAATGGTCTCCCGCGGCATCTACCGCTCTGGCCATCCCAACGAGCGCAATTTTGAATTCCTCCGCCGACTCAATCTCAAATCCGTTCTCTACTTGGGCACCGAAGATTATCGCTCAAATATGACCAACTGGACCGCCTCCCAAAACATTCGGGCATTCCACCTTCGACTAGCGATCAACAAGGAGCCCACAGCCGAAATGGACGAAGTTGATGTGGTCAAAGCTCTGCAGCTGATCTTAAAGCCTGAAAATTGGCCCATCTTGATTCATTGCAACAAGGGAAAGTACAGAGTAGGATGCATCGTGGGGCTGGTGAGAAGGCTGCAAGGATGGAGCCATACAAGTATCTTTGAAGAGTATAGCAGGTTTGCGGGTACCAAGATCAGCGATCTGGAGTATATTGAGGTTTTTGATTTGTCGAAGGTCTCTCTGACGAGCTGAATAGCGTTTGCAATGGAAGTCATAACTAAATGTCTTCCCTTTGGTGCTCGACGGATTGGCTTCTTAAAGCTTGATTGTTGCGAGCCCGGTTTGATTGTGGAATGTTGTGCAGGAAGCCGGACACGAGCTAGACGTTAGAACCACACCTCGACCCACTTTCTGTGTCGCGCGCCGGACTGAAGTCTTCCGCGAACAGCCTCCAGGACTCGAGCTCTTTGCCATTGCCACATCGAAACTGTGTGGGTCGTGCGCGGGCAATGTACCCGTTCCGTCAATGAGTCCAGATAGCGCCTGCTGTCTGTGGTTGCGTACCCTGTGCGAGGCTGGGCGGTGTTGTTGACGAATTCTAAGAAGGTAGCGCGACGATAACCTCTCTGCAACGTTTGCGAAGGTTCGAGATTGGAGAACATGTAGGGCAGGTGGCGAAGGTCGTTATCCACATACATATGGTATTGATGAACAGTAGGACCCTCTCCATTGATCACACGACCGCCTTGCGTTGCTCTCTGTGAATGTTTCGCGTGCCATGGCGCCACATAGCTCCCAGCCGCCTCGGCGCTGAACACACCGCGCCACCTTGCCTCTTTGCTAATCAGTCCTTCTGCTGTGGCGCCTCGGAGCTGCTCCGGGTCGGCGAAAGCCTTGCAGCCTACAAGCACGAGATTCTCTAAATGCGGCCATGCCACCGAAAGGCATGTAGCCCACTGAACGCCCAGAATTGCATCAGCTGAGACCCAGTCGCAACAGCTCAGGTCAAGTGTTCTGAGCTTCGGAAGGCTCCTGCTCAGTTTGCGAAGGATAGAGGCAGCTGTTTCTGATTTCGTACTGAAGGCATTCCTCGAAACGTTTGTCCCGGAGATTCTGGAACCCGCAAGGCTGAGCGTCTCGAGATTGGGAAGTCGCGCAAGGGTTGACACGATCGATTCCAAGGATGTGTCGATTGTATTGGGTTGGTCTTCCGCGTTCGAAAAAGAGTTGTTCCAGCCAGCCAAGCTGAGCATGCGGAGTGAGACGAACATCTGGCCTCCGTGCATTGTAAATAACATGCGGTGCATGGTGTGCTTTGCAATGCTCGAGAAGGAAAGATCGAGCGAAGAGAAGGCATCACCTCTCTTAGCAGAGAGTGTAGTGCCGAGGTCCTCATAAGATATGGCGCTTGCCTCCCAGTCGTCTTCGGCTCCGTCCTGGTCTTTCAAACCACTTTGATCGATCTCGAGAGCCTCGGTGATGTCAGCGTGTGTTAGTGCCTGAGCCACTGAATCGCATAAAGGCTGTTTAGTGAATGCGAGGCGTCCACACAGAGCCATCATGCGCTGGCGCATGTGAGCCGGAAGGTACTCGAGCACCTCAGCTTTTTGCAAGTGGTCTATCTCGCTTGTCTCGTCTCGAGCTTTTCCCCTGGTGCCCTTATCACTAGTTGACGGCGGGCGATTGAGCGAATCGGCGATGACACACAAAGCCATATCGCAAAGAGATAAGAGAGGTCGACTTTCATGGAAGGGGTCTGAAGAGTCGTAGAAGCGTCGAAGCCCGGCACACGTTGCCCTCTGCTTTGCCCGCTGCTTTGCCCTCACAGCTGCTGTTGGAGTCATGGTATGAGCTGCGTCGGCAGGCTGGCTGTCTGTCCGCTCTCTCCAGTCCTGGTCGCCGAGTGGGGCGGTAGTGGAAGACATGAGGGCTTGTAAGCGCTGTCTATTTAAATGCGAAGCATTGCCTCTGCGTATGCTGAGTCGGTCGAAGTCGTCCCGCCAGGATTCAGGTGGCATCGGCCCTGCTACTTGTCGCTTCAGGTGTCGCTCACCTGTCCGTTGCTCTCGCTCCCTTCGAGCTTGTTCGATAGACGACATAAGCATGAGTCCTGCCCTAGATGAAGGGGATTCATACTCTTGCGGTTGAGGCGCGAATGCATGAGACAATGCTTTCGGTTGCGACTGTGCGCCATCTTGCGCACGAGCGAGTTTGGCTTGCAGGTTACGGGCTCGGCGCAGATCCTGCTCTCTTGCTCGAGCCAGCCTTCCATTGACGCTGAACTTGGACGACTCGGCCTGTCCCACCATTTTGATAACTGCCAGAGTTCGATCTTGTGCATTCCGTGTCGGTCAGGTTTCGGAGGAAGGGGGCTAAGTTCAGATAAATGAAGGCACGGATGATGGCGAAGGCAAGTGCACTTAACTTTAACTCAGCTTCGTGTAATGTTGTGGAGGTGTAACTTATCAAAAATCAAAAATCAAAAAAAAAAAAAAAAATCAAAAATCAAAAATCAAGCTTGCTTGCCGGAAAAAGCGCCGAAAAAATCGCCGCTGAAAATCACACGCACATTCCTATCATGTCTTGCACAGCTTGAGCGAAGATGTTGGTACAGGTCCATTGACATTTGCAACACTACACTGATGAAACTAGAGGGTATACATACATATATATATATATATATAGCATCTGACTGATGATGGATAGATCAAGACCCAATCATGGCACTGAGCATGCGCTTGTAGTCACCGCTGGTCTCGCCTTCGACACGATTCTTGAGACCCTTCTTGTGGAAGAGCTGAGCATAGGCTGGCTTGATCTGACCCTCGAAGCGAGGCTTGTTCCAGTGAAGACGAGCGACACGGTAAATAAGACGCTCGTCCTTGGTTCCCATGCCCTTCATGCTGTCCTCGAGCAGACGTGCATCACGAGTGACACCCTGCCCATCGTTCTCGGCACCATCCACAATATATCGGAGTGCGTCTCGCATGTGGCCAGAGAATTCCGTGTCAATCATCTTGGACAGAGGCTTTCGCTGATGACGCTGGTAGGCCTGGGCGACGGCGGCAAGGTGTGGACTGCTGCGTTGAATGAGGATACCGCAGATGGCAATCTCGTCTGTACCAGCACCACGAGCAGCATTGTGAAGGGCAGCAGCATCTGCTTCGACAGCTTGGTGGTCGATAGGAGCAGTGTCCTCCTGGCGAACACTCTGCATGGCCATGACAAACATTCGCTTGGTCTTGAACGAGAGCTCGTCCTCGACCACCTTTTCTAGGTTCTTGCCGTAGGTGACCTGGTAATACTGCTTGAGGAGGTGCATCTCCATGTTGGTCCTGCCGAGGATCACCTCGTTGAGAAGGTCCTCGTGCGTACCAGCACCCTGGCAGGCACGCTTGATGAGCCAACAGTCGTATAAGACAGGACCAAGCACCTTGGCACGAAGTGCTGCTTGGAACCAGCCAGATGTTTCCTTTTCGAGGACACTGAGCAGATCCTTGCCAACAGTTGCCTTGAACGTATGGCGAAGAGCATCGATCTGGTAGGCATCAAGGGGGGCTAGTGTGGTAATGAGAGCACCCTCATCGGTGCCGAAGCCCTTGGTGGCTTTGCGAAGTCTCTCGACGTCTTGAGCTGGATTGTACCCGGGCGGAGATGGTGCAGGCTGGTTGGGAGGTGGAGGTGGGATAGGCACGCCAAGGTAGTACGCACCAGCTGCCGTCGATGGAGGAACGGGAGCAGGAGCACCGTAGGCATGCTGAGGTGGAGGTGGATGAGCATGAGGATGATGGTGATGATGATGAGGAGGAGGAGGAGGTGGTGGTGGAGCGTGATGCCCGTGTGGCGGACCAGGTGGTGGAGCATAACCTCCACCATAGGGTGCTTGAGGGGGAGGAGGTGCTCCGTATCCTCCAGCGTGAGGAGGGGGTGGACCAGCGGGAGGTGCATAGCCTCCGTAGCCGCCTTGAGGCATGGGAGGAGGAGCGCCGTAGCCTTGAGGAGGTGGGTATGAATTTTGTTGCCAGGACATTGTTATGTTGAGTGGCGAATAGAAAAAGGAGAATGGCAACAAACAGTGCTACGATATATATGTGATGAGACTGTCCGCGCAGCTTTGATGTGGACGGGGTCAGGTGTGTCCGTGGGCGGAGTGCAAGAGACAGTCGAGATGATATGAAAAGAGACGAGGGCCAAAGAGTGTCCTTTTGGCTATCTTTCCTCCACACTTGTTGTGTCTGAGGTTGTACGAGTATGAGTGTTCTGGTGCCTGTCTCGCTTGTTCATATTGCTTGGCACAATGGAATGGGAAGCTGTCTCTGCCGCTTTACACAGCCCGCCCTGACAGCCACGAGAGAGACAGACCCACAAGGCGGTGTTTCCCGTCTCTCACGCCAGAGCAGAAGAGTGGCGTCGCGTAAACTGCCACAGCACGGCACAGCACGGCACAGCACAGCACAGCACAGCACAGCACAGCACGAGAAATCAAAAAGCGGTGCGCACGGTCGATTCGAAAGACGTCACGACACTGCTTTGTTAAAAAGTAAAGACGATTGGGTCCCGATAACTGGCGATCGGGGAGAGTCTGAGTACGATATCACTGCTGTTATAGACAGAAACACATATACTCAATTGACTAAGAAGCATGGTGAGAGCCTAGCGCTCCCAGTGAGATATATTTATACATTTGGATGGTACATGCCGAATGTGGGTGTATCCTCCTTCATGACGATGCTTGACAACGAGCGGGGACCATGTTGTATCCGAACTCGGATGAGATCGGCTTCGCCCGATCCCTCCACCTTGCATCATCATATTGGATTGCTATTTTTCAACATGCTTGGCTCCACATATCCACACAGCTTCTGACCCTTTTTGAGCTTGGCTCATTTTTGTTTCCGTGGGAGCAAATATATGTGTCGATCTCACATTGTCGGTAAATCAAGAAAGATTGACAACTCCGCATCCGTGCACAAACAAGATTGACATGCTCGTCAGGCTCCTCTCTTTGTGTAACTTCACCCCTGAAACGAGTTCACAGCCTGCAATCCTCTGCTCATCATACCGTTCACTTTGTGCAGGGTAACCTTTAGATCCGAAACTCTCCTGCAACGATGAATCTCGATGCCAAGCTGCCCCAGCATGTGGCTGATGGCAACGTGCCCCCTGGCTTTCCACAGATCCATCCCTCAAGGCCCTACACGAAGCGTCAGATGCTCGGAGATTTCCTCAAAGGAATCAAGCTCGCTCTCTTCATCTTTGTCGTCTTGCTGTACCCTCAGAAAAGCTTCTCTTATGCATCTGACATCGCTTCAGGCAAGTGGCATTGGCCATGGTCGCCTCGTCCCGTCAAGACCAACATCATCTTCATGATCAGTGATGGCTACGGTCCTGCATCTGTCGCATTCACAAGGCACTTTGCGCAGGCTTTAAACAACGATACAGACTATACAAGCTTATTCCAGCTACCGCTCGATAAGATTCTCGTCGGCACCCACCGCTCTAGATCTTCCTCTTCGCTCATCACTGACTCGGCTGCAGGCGCTACTGCCTTCTCGTGTGCCAAAAAGTCGTACAATGGTGCCATCGCGGTCACTCCGGATGGCAAGCCCTGTGGTACTGTCTTTGAGGCTTCCAAACGAAAGGGCCTCTTGACTGGTGTTGTCGTCACCTCTCGGCTTACGGATGCTACTCCCGCTGCTTTCATCTCGCATGCTGCTTCTCGTGCCGAAGAGCCGCTCATCGCTTCCCAGATGATCGGAGGCAGGCAGAACCCACTCGGCGAACGAACGCTCGATCTTGCTATCGGAGGTGGAGGATGCGCTTTCCTGCCCAACTCCAGCTCCGTCTCGTGTCGTCAGGATGACGAGGACACTGTCGAGTACGCCAGGCAGCTTGGATGGGATGTTCGAGTCGCCTTCCCCACCAACACCTCCTCCGACCATCTTCATGCGGACATGTCATCAAGGTCTGATGTTTTCGGCGGCGAACCAGAGATCCCTTTCATGGCGTTACTATCTCCCGGCAACACTCCCTACGAGATCGATAGAGTCAACATTCCCGAACCATTGCCTCTCAAGCCGCTTTCCCACTACGCAAAGAAGGCTCTCGAGCTCCTTGGCGAATCTAGGCAGAACCAGAAGGGTTTCATCCTTATGATCGAAGGCTCGCAGATCGACCTTTGTGCCCACAACAATGACCCTGCTTGTCATGCCCGTGAGGCCCTCGCATACCATGACACCATCGCTCTCGTCAAGGACTGGGTTGATCGTCACAACACTAAGGACGAGAAGACGCTTCTCATTTCTACTTCCGACCACGAAACCGGTGGTGTCACTCTGGGCAGACAGCTCACCGTCGACTATCCAAACTATGCCTACTACCCCGAGCGTCTGCTCAACGCAAAGCACTCCACGCCTATCCTCACTGCTGTGTTGATCGACTTTGTTCGTTTGGAAAAGCAGAAAGCCAAGGCGCAAGGTGGTCATGTCAGCGAGAAGCTTGTTCGCGACTTCATTGAGCGCAAGGTCCTTGGCAAGTCAGGCCTTGGCTTCGAGGGTGAGGGTCAGGGCGGAGCTCCAACTTTGGCTGAAATCGATGCCGTATGGAAGGTGGTGAAGAGCGAGATTCTGTCGATCGCAGATGCAGAGGACAGCGATGCTCATCTCGAAAGCGCAGCTAGGCATATTCGTAATGCTCACACCACGGCAAACGACGTCCATCGAGTCGGCACACTCGGCCCTGTTCCCAGTGTCAATCTCGATGGCATCCGCAGGGTCATTTCAGACATAGCAGCTAGGAGAGCTGAGATCGGGTTTTCCACCAGCGGCCACACAGGTATCGACATCAACGTCTATGCCTATGGCTTTGGATTGCACAAGTTGATCGGAAATCAGGACAATACCAACATCGGAACTGTCATCAACGAGCTTCTTCAATTAGATCTTGATGCGATCACTCGTGATCTCAACAAGTAGACTTACCATCAATACACACCTGCATTGTCTCCCAGACGCTAATCAATTCATTGCAATCACACCTGGAAGCAACTTTCGTGCCACAACACGATCAGACACACCAAAGAGCAACAATCACAGACGCACTGAGATGATTGAGACCGGTTCAAGGATTGCTGGGTTAGGATCGTGTGAGTTTTTTAGTAGTGAACATGATTGATCTGATGACAATATGTGGTGTGAAAGAAGATGAAGATGTTCTCGCTTCCAAGACGTTAAGAAGATTCTACTGCTGCATCAAAAGTGCTTCCGAAAAAGGGAAGAAGTATACAGGATGGCAAACACTTTTGACGTCAGACAAGTGAGCGTCATGAGAACGGGGCTTGTTGAACTGCGCAGTGAAGCCGACCAAGGATTGCAATTAGCCCAGCAAATCCCATATGAAAACCACTGAGAGCGATGCCTTGACCAAACCGGCTGTGCGCGACGAGGTCCAACTTTTTGGAGATGTGTAACCGACAGCTCACTCAAGAAGAGAGGCGATGATGTCGGAGGGAATACGATAAGAGTGAACAATGCAAAGAGGAGAGATGATACAAACGGAAATCAAACACGAAAGAAGAAACACCACGCCCAGTCCATCCTAGCCTTACACCACAGCTGCTGCTCTACTTGTTGCAGGCCGTGATGCAATGATCAAAAGAACGGAACGAGAGAAGCATGACTGATTGCGCGCTTAGTTCATTCGACGGACGAGAGCGTTGATAGCCTCACCACGGTCACCAGTGTTACCACCCTCGGTGTAGTGGGTGAGCTTCTTGCCCTTGAAACCACCGTTGGGGTTCGAGAGCTTGAAGGCCCAGAGGAAGTTGGTGACGGCCTTGAAGTTGGGGCCGCAGGTGGCGATCTCATGAACGATGTCCTCGATCGAGAGGATGCCGTACTTGCCAAGGCTCTCCTCGATGATCTTGTTGTCGTTGATGGGGAGACGCTGGCGGTTGACCTTGGCGTAACCACGCTTGTAGACGAGGTCACGGATGGTCTTGAGGTTGGGGGCACCGTAGGTGACGTAAGGCTGAACGAGCTGAAGCATCTGCGAGGTGGCCTTGGTCAAGCGGACAAAGACACCGTTGTTGATCTGGAGGAGACGGAGGAGCTGCAAGATCTTGCGGGGCTTGGGCGCAATGTTGTTGATACCACGGAGACGGACGACGAAGACGACCTTGGGCTGACCGGCAACGTAAAAGTCACCCTTGGCCTTGGCGGCACGGCGAAGACGGATCTCCTCGCGCTCGGCAGTGCGGTACTCCTTGGTGTACTGCTCGGCACGCTTGAAGATGACCTTGCGCTTGCCGAGGTTGGCCTGTGTTGCGTTACAGCAAAAAGTGAGAACGGTTGTCAGAAAGCTGTGCGGATTGATTGAAGGCACGATTCAGGCCTAGCCTAGACTTTGCTTGCCATCCTAACCAATTTGCTGCATGCAATCTACTTGCTCCAATTACTCCTTCCCGCCTATTTGCGTATGTCCTGATCAAAGGTGAACCTCAGCCCCGAAAGATGGTATATTTCGGCAGCATTGTCCGTAGACTAGCCCGAATGTTGGTTGTTATGCATCACTGTGTTGTCACTTTGATCCTATCTCCCAACGTAAACCTAGCCTATGAAGATGTCCTAAAATTGTGCTGCATTCTGTCTTTCGATTGCATTGTCCTCCTGTGAATGTCCAAGCTAGACATTAGGATGAAGAATACATACCTTCTTGGTCTCGGCGGCCTTGGCAGCCTTCTCCTCACGGGCCTTGGCGTCGGACTTCCTCTTCTTGAGGAGAGTCTCGGGGACGAGGACGTCGTGAGCCGAGGGGACGGTGCTGTGAGATGTGGAAAGATACAATGCGGGAGCGATTCAGAATGTCAGCGATGCGATTGTTGGTCGAAATTTGTTGCGATCACGGCATGAACAGCAGGAGTCGTGTTGGAGAAGCGAGTAAGGCCGAAAGTTGCATGATTATAGCACAGTTGGTTGTCGTCGTACGCTTGTTGGTAGGGCAGGTTGATCGTCATCCATCGACATGGTAGGTGAGCGAGAGCTGGTGTGTTGTTGCGACATTAGCATTGAGCCGTGTATGTCTCTGTTGGATGGTTGGTCCGAAATCAACCGTACCTTCAGCATAGGTCTACAAACTCCATCCGCACATCGTATGCAGTCATAATTCCAAGTGGTACATTGCTACGTTACGAAAAGCCTCTACAGGTATCCTTCATTGTCCACTGACAACGTCCATCCAAGCTACTTTCAACATCTGATGACCTCCAATATCATGCGAATGATTCATTCGCAATGTTTTCAATTGTGTCGTGATGTCTCCTGTGAATGCTGATGCTGATGCGTGGTGAAGCATATGCTTTTAGACTCGTGGTCGAGGTCGATTGGTGGCGGTACTAATACTACTTCTGCTACTGTCGTTCGTTGAAGTCGGTGCTGCTATGCCATGGATCGCATCATTGACGATGAGATACGTACGTTCGGATCTGGGTCGACATTATTCTTGACGGGGAGGGGATGGGTGAAGGTGATGATGGTGACGAAGAGGTTGCAGTCGATATTGACCAAGCTGACACTCCGGAATCTCGAATCGGTCAGTCGGCTGCGAAGGCTACACTCACACACACAACTGAAGGTCGCAGTTGCGAATTTCTCGAAAGTCTCGACAACCTGAACATCCTCAAACTGCCTGTCTGCTGCCTCAGAATCTCTATAAGCCTTCACAGCGCTTTCTTTGACCATTAAAGCCAAAGTTTCGTCTTTCGTCAAATTCCAGTCGAGCAGCCAGAAGCTTGAGAGAGGCCCAGAGACGTGATTTTCAACCAATTTCGAAATTGAACAGGCGCCAATCCAGTGTTGCAGTTGACAAAGAAATCAGCAAAATTTCCAGCTACACGTGCCAAAGACAAGTCGGCCGAGGTTGTCAGCCCGATGAAGCTACGATGACGATCGCGGAATCCCTGCTCACGATGACACGCTCTTAGGTAATACCACCGTGTCTTTGCAACTTACGCTCAGACCAGCAACGAGCAACACACACACGCATCGTTGGACCCTGGATTGCGCAATGCCCGACATCATCTCAAGAGGGGCCACCAATCATCAACACAGTGCGGCGTGAACAAAACGAAGCCTGCGTTTCGGAACATCGCTGTTGGTAGCCACCGCTACAGCCACAAGGTTCCTTCAAGTCCTTGGACCACAATCCATCGTCATGACGGCATCAGCTTCTCAAACGCCAAATCAAGGTGTGTTGGTCTTCATCATGTTGCTCCCGTCATCAGCTCCGACTAATTGCCTTTTCGCCATGTATCTGATGTTATTACAATAGAGCTAGACCGCCAGCTAGGAGCGGCAGCTGCTATCTTATTACTGCCAAGTCCATCAGCAGCAGCACTACAGGCTCTCGAACAGTACAAGAAGAAGGACTCGTCAAAAGGTAGCTAACCTTCTCCTCATCACCGTCATGAAGTTGGACAAGAAATTGCTTACTGACAGTGATACAATGTTATGCCTCATGTTTGTGATTACTCTGCTTCTCGCTGCTGTTGCAGTGGTCGTCTTCTTCAAAGCCATCGGCAATGCACCCATCATGAGGAACAACTACTTCCGTATCACAGCATTCAACCGTTTCCAAGCCGTCATTCAGTTCTTGCGGAAAGAGCTCAACTTCAAGCCCACAGACTCACTCGTAAGTTGTCGCTTGCCCTGGTGCTGCCCTCAGCCCACAATAGCTGACCAGCGTGTTATTCTTCTTTATCGGCCATGTACGCCAGTTCTTGTACATCAATGCCTCGTTCAGTCCAGCGCCAGATGACACTGTCGGCAACCTTTTCAGGGTGAGTACTCGCTCTGGTCCACAGCGCGGTCACTCCAACCTCGCAACAAGCTTTCTGACATATCGGATACTTGTTCGACAATCTTTGCCTTGACCCGCAGTGCTTTGGAACAGAGAATCATCTGATAGTCAACTACAGCACAACTGCCGCGTGGGGCTAGCCGACAATAGCAGACTGTCCGAACCTCACGCTCCCTCATCTGTAATGTATACCCCGGCAATCGATACATGCCACGATCATGCACACAGTAGCATGGAACAGCACTCAGTACTATAGGATGAGACAACGAAAGCGAAATCGACACACACTCAAGAGAGTTTAAAGAAGGTCATGATGCCATTTCAAGCACAATCTAAAAGACAGCATCATGAAGCAATCATGGTCTACGAGAAAGAGGGGAAGAGGACAGAGCAAGTGCAAGGTGCTGCGATTAGTAGACCTCGAGAACGTATCGTTCGTCCTCCTTGAGAGCCTCCATCTTCTGCTCGGCCTGCTCCTTGGTAAGACCCTTCTTGACAAAGGCACCGACAAGGGCCTCGTGAATGTCGGGAACGGGCCAGGTGGGACCACAGACGAAGAAGTAGCCCTTCTTGCCGTCCTCGACGTGCTCGTCGTTAATGAGACCGTCCTGGAGCACAACCTCGGCCTTGCCACCGGCAGCCTCGAGCTTCTCGATTTCAGGACCAAGGTACCGGGTGAGCAAGTCACCGTCCTCGAGAATCTTGTGCTGGATGTACACCTTCTTGGAAGTGTCACGGGAGAAGGCGAGACCCATGTGCTCAATGACACCGTCCTGAGTGTAGGCCTCGAGCTCCTCTCCGTACAAGTACTCGGCTGATCGGTAACGAGAACCGAAGTAGTAGACCAGAGGACCGACCTCGGCACCCTGAGCCTTCTTGTAGGCACGAGCCTGGATGAAGGCACGAAAGGGAGCAGCACCAGTACCGAGACCAGCCATGATGATGGGCTGGGAGTCGATAGGAGGAAGCTTCATCACCGAAGGCTTGAGCGAAACAGCGACCTTGGCACCAGGCTTGAGCTGCGAGAGGTAGCGCGTGCACTGACCGTATCGCGGGCTGCCGCTAGGCGTCTTCCAGTCGACGGTGACGATGAGCAGGTGGATCGACTCGCCAACAGCACACTGAGCCGAGGCAATCGAGTAGTGACGAGGCTTGATAGGCTCAACCAAGGTGAGCAGCTGGTCGATGGGCAGACGAGCCGAGGGGAACATGCGAAGCACGTCGGCGTACGTAACGGTTTCGATCTCCGAGAGCTTCTTAAAGGTAGACGATCCCTCGGCAGAGCTGATGAAGCGGAGCCATCGAGCCTCGTCACGATTGGTGGCAAGCTTGCCAAGCTCCTCGTAGAAGCGCTTGGGTGGCTTACCGAAGATGTCGAGGTTCTGCTGCAAGGTCTGGAAGACAGTGCGGCTCTCATGCTTGCCGGCAGTGGTGATGCTGGGAGCGTTGACGACCTCGTCGGCGTCGTAGCCAGACCACTTGATAAACTCGGCGACCTCCTCGTCGTCGTTCCAGCCGTGGACACCAAGAGCCTCGCCGACCTCGTACTTGAGGTCAGTGCCCTTGGTGCTAAGCTCCATGTGGAAGACGTTTCGGTCGTAGTCGATAGGAGTGAGGCGACGGTTCTCGGTGACCTCGACGACCCAGGTCTGCTCGGGCAGGTCGGGACGGAGGGCATCGGCCTGGGTGTCGTAAGCCTCGGAGAAGAGGTGCTGCCAGGCGGACTGAGCCCAGGTGCTGCGAGTGGAAGCAACCTCGAGACCGACGGTAGCGGCGTCAGGGTTGGCACCGAAGCCGTTGTAGCGGATCTGAGTGGGGCGCAAAGGAGCGTTCTCCTCGGCCTCCGAGATGGGCTCAGCCTTGGACCATTCGTCATCGCTGAAGGCGTGGAGCTGGATAGCACTCTCGGCAGCCGAGACGAGACCCTCGACACCGTCGATGCCGACAGGGGCGGTACCGATGACACGCTTGAGGAAAGCGGCGAGAGCTGCGCCAGATGTGTTGAGCTGAACACGAAGGACAGCAACTAGGAGGACGGCGGCAGCGACCTCGGAGGGTACGACATTGTCGCCAACCTTAGCCTTGCCGCCGCTGGCGTTGGCAGTCTTGGTGTTGAGCTTCTCGACGACAGCCGAGGCATCAACGAGCAAGAGACGAGCGCTCTTCTGGGCAAGCACGCGCTTGTCCTCGGCGCGGAGCTTGGAGTCGAGCTCGGCAACCTCCCAACCAGGAGTGTTGAAGATCACAGTACCGCCACGGACGAGCGACTGGAAAGGAGCATAGCTCTTGAGCGTGGTGGCAGGGTCGCTGACGACAAGCACCTTGGCGGCATTCTCTTCGGCGGCAAGGATGATGGGAGCGTCCGCGGCCGACTCAGGGCGGCTCGAGAGGATAATGTCAGAGCGCACAATGCCGGAAGCGTCGAAGTTGTCGTATCGCGAAAGGAGACGAGCGTGAAGCTGGGTGTCGGCACCGCGGTCTCGGATGGCACGAGCAGTGAGCTGAGCGAGCGGAGCAGTGGGGCTGGTCTCGCTGTCGAAGAAGGTGACGACGGTAGCACCCGAGAGGGCGAGCAAGTCCGCGTGGGTGTCGTCAGCTTCGTCAAGAACGTCTTGGACATTGAGGGCAGACTTGTGAGCATCGGCGAGGGTCTCGAGGATTTTGTGGAGCTCAGCAGCAGAAAGGTCCTGACCGGGAGCAAGGGCGACCGGGAAGACGTGCGAGGGGACGTCAGATTCGGCGAACTCGCCGCCAAAGACGGCCGAGACGATGTCCTCGTAAAGCTGGCCAGAGGCGGAAGCACCCGAAACCTCTTCGAGGACGTGAAGGCTCTCGACCGACTTGGGAAGAGCTTTGCGGAGGTCGAGATCGTCCCAGGATCGCAAGTTGCGAACCGAGAGGAGAGCGACATTGTGACGCACGGTGGGAGGGAGGGTCACAAGGACGGCACGGGCAGCCTGGCTGTGAGAGCCACTGGGGACGACGAGGACAGTCTTGGCCTTGGGCGAGCCAGTAAAGAGGAATGGCTCGGGAACGTCGACCTTCTGGCCCTTGGTAGGGATGGTGAGAGCACCGACCTCGCGTCCGGAGAAGGCGCCGTCAAAGACATGGACGACGTTCTTCCGCGATTGGTAGGCGTATTGGGCAAAGTCAAGGGCCTCCTGGCGGGTGGAAGAGAGGAAGATCTCGAACGAGTCGTCAAGAGCAGCGGCGGCGTTGAGGACCGAGGCGTAGTCGTTGCTGATGGAGAGCTCCTCGCCTTCTTCAGTAGAGTGGCTGGCGGCAGAGACCTGGAGGACGAGTTTGGCGTTATCCGAGCCGTTGAAGGAAGCGAGAGTGGGAGTCATGGCAGCAAAGCCGGCGGCGTTGGTCAAGGCAGTGACGACCTTGGCAGGCTCGGTGGAAGACGATCCGCTCTTGGAGTTGAGGTAGCCAACGATAGCGTTACCGGCGCCGGAACGGGTCTGCATCTTGAAGACCGAGGGACGACCCTTGAACCAGCCCTGCTCAGCGGCGTGCTGAGCCTCCTTCTCGCTGTAAGAGCCGAAGCCGCCGTTGGCCTCGCTCTCGTAGCTGAAGATAGCAGTGCTATTGGCGTAGGCAATTGAGTCGATGGCACCGGCGCTGGTGAGCTTGTGGCTGGGGACGCCAACCAACCAGGACAGGGCAGCAGCCTTGGCGGCAAGCTCGGACTCAGTAGGACCGTTGACGATGCCGAGCTCCATGCGGGCATCAAGGTGTTTGGCGCGGTTGACTTGCGAGGGCTCAGGCTGGGCGGTGGTGTCGGGATGGGCGTTGACGAGGCCGGTGAGCTTCTGACCGCCGGAAGTGACATCGACGCCGTTGGGAGCGACATGGCCAGGAAGAGTTGGCTTAGCAGGGGCGACAGGGCCAGCACCCTTGGCGTCGACGTCATCGAGCTGCTTGGAGGCAGGAGGGTCAACACGGCCAGAACCAGTGATGCCACCAAGAGGGGTGTCCTTGGCGGTGCTGGTGTTGTTGTTGCTGGTGTTGTTGTTGCTGGTATTGTTTTTGCTGGTGTTGTTGTTGCTGGTATTGTTTTTGCTGGTGTTGTTGTTGCTGGTGTTGTTGTTGCTGTTGGTGATGGCCTTGCCTTCAGCGGCAGCGACAGCAGCAGGGGAGGAACGCAGCTTGGCGTCCGAGACCTTGCGCTTGATGGACTTGTTAGGCTTGTGAGCAGGAGCAAAGGCGGCTCGCGAAAGGGCCAGAGTACCGGCACCGATGGCGAGACCACCGGCAAAGATGGCAGCGCTCTGGTAGAGCGACTGCGAGGAAGTAGCAGCCATCTTGGGTGTACAGACGCAAGAACAGGCAGCGATGGAAGGGGGCAAGAGTGAGGTGATGGTGAGAAGCAAGCAGTATCGACGATGAAGCTGCCGTTCTTCTCGACCTCAACAATCTCAGTGGGGGAAGGCTGGAAGATTACAGCAGTTCAGCGCGCTTTCGACGGCAAAGCAAAATCAAAAGGGCTCGGGAAGAAGTTGCCTTGGCGACACAGACACGGGTCTGGCTGAGGAGACCAGCAATCTGGGCTTTAGGCGAGCCAACAAGACTCAGTTAGACTGATTAGACAGACAGGAAGAAACCCGGTCAAGCTCCGATTGTTCTGATTGGCCGCCATAAGATTCTTGAGGAGCTGCAGCTGTCAAGTTTTGCGGGGGGAAAACTTGGTCGATTGCGCCATTTGTTCTTCCAAGCACCAAATTACGAAAGAGGCCCATCGACATATCCATGAGCGGATCGTCAAAATTCAGATCGATTTTAATCGAGATAAAGATGTCAGAGCGACTTTGCTCACAAGCTCCCACAAATCATTCTCTCACCCTTTTTTGTTGTTGTTTTTTTGTTGTTTTTTGGCCTCAATTTTTAGATTGACATTTTAGACATGCTAGGCGATTGATAGCGTAGTCTGCTACGGCGTGTTCTCAAGCATTCAAGCAGACCTGGAAGAATCTGCGGATCTTGATTGAAGCGTACGCCGTGCAAGTCTCGCTCGTCATCAGAACCTTTGGCTTGAGTGTGAGAACTTGTTGCCGAAATCGCTTCTGCACAATCAGGGTGGAATTGTCAATGTAACTTCTTGCTCCTCTGGCCGAGTTGATGTGATGTGATCTGTTGTCGGCAATCACGCCGGCAAATAGATCAGCGAGAGTAACAAAGGAGAAGCGGATGAGGTCGAAAGCATTTCGATGATGTAGCAATTCGTCGCCTGTTCCTGGCAAATCTGTGGAGTGTTTCCAATATCTTAGGACGAGCAGAAAAGAAAACTTAAGCCGCCGCTCCCCCTTTTTTATATATATTAAGCCACAACGGCGTTCTCAAAGAGCAGCTCAGGGTCTAAAGCTTTCTCGCCACATCGTCGGAGTTGCGGCGATATTTTTGATGGTGATGAGTGAGGCTAAATCACGCTTCTCACTCGAGCAGCAGCTGAGAAGGTGACAAGTCTTTTTGGCGTAGTTTGATGCTGAACTTACCGAGCCGTCGTCCTCTCGCCTTCTTGACGCCAATCCTCCACGTCTTTCATCATCCAGCTAGAGCTGTCCGGAAGCTCTCATTCTCACAGCATGAATGTGTAGGCGTTGATTGTAGTTGAGAGGATCCAGGTCGGCTGCTCCGACTGAAAGTAGATAAGGTACGATTGAGCAGGAGTGAATGTGAGCAGGAGTCAACGTCACCTTGGAGCCGAAAAGGGAAGCCGCTGCAGACTGTGTGCTGCATTGCATCGAACTCAACGGCATTGAAACACTGCCGCTTCAAACAATGACTATGCCTCGTTTGTCTTTCTCTAGTTAGCTGCACTACACAGAGATGCTCTCACTCTCTTCCACACTTGCTGTCTCTACCACATTGTAGACTCTCTCCTGCGGGAGCCTTAAAAGGCAAGGTTATTGAGACCGTCCAGCAAAACGGAGGGAACGCTAGCTCTCGCTACGCCCAAGTGGCTCTTCGCTTCGACGTCGACGTTGTTGCTGCATAGCTTTCCGCTCCTTCTCGCTTTCCGACCGACTTGATTGCCTCAGTCCTCCTCGCCACAATCTGACTTTGTCCCTGACCTCGACTGAGTTCTCTCTCACCCACCTCTGCTCCACATCCATCCATTCCATCTTCAGCAAACAAAGAAGCTGCTGCTGCAGCAGCAGCAAGCATCTACATCTCACCATCATCCCCACCAACGACAGGCTTCCCTTCACCTTTACTGCTGAACGAATCGACGATAGACAGCTGTATTCAGCTGTTCTGCAACCAGTGACTATTTCCCTCAATTGACCGTGATACCGCAAACGGCATCACCATGTCCGTCATTATAACGACGGTTCCGGTGACTGTGACTGCAAGTCAGTCGGTCCTTGTCGTCACCTCGACCATTGCAGCATCTCAACTCTCAATCGCTACGGCCAATCCGACTGAATCAGCCAACAGCGTGAGCGCTACTGCCTCTTCTGCCAATCAAGTCAGCCGATCCTTATCAGCTGGCGACAGCACCTCATTAACTAGTCCCTCAGGCACTGCATCATCAAGTGACAACTCTGCGCCTTCTCACCCCCCTATCGGTGGCATTGTAGGAGGTGCTGTAGGAGGTGTCGCGTTAATAGCTTTCATCCTCCTCCTTGCCTGTCTCTTCAGAAAGCGTCGCAAAGCAAAGAAAGATGCCAACCTCTTCCCTGCGTCGGACGACGAGAAGGCTCCTGCTGTCATCGCTGGCCTCCCCCCCAACCCTTGTACTACTCAACTACGTCCGCATCGGGCAACTACAGCAACTCGGTCGTCATGACCGATGCTGCTTCCGCGCTCCCTCTTCTCGGTGCTGACAGATCGATCCATGGCGGCTCGCACACTGGTGCTCACGTATCCGAAGCCCACTCTTCCCACTTGCATCGACCATCAGCCGCTTCGCTCGCACCAAGTTTCATCATGGGCTCATCGGCATCCTTCCCTCATTCACACGGCAGCCACTATGGCCAGCCTCTGAACGGTGCCTTATCTGGTAGCAGCCAAGACTATCCTGGTGGCTTCGCAAACGGTTACCCGGATGTCCACCGCACCGCCTTCTACGAACCTCCGATGCCTCCTGCAGTTGACCCCCGCATCGGGCCATCCGCCAAGATGATCGATCCTCGAGCACATGTTGTTCCTCCCGGCATGGCAAGCCTCCCGACGGGGGCTGCACCTTCCGACTATGCTGCGTTGAGTGAAGCTGCTCGTTGGCGAGGCATGCAACAAGCACCACCTCCTAGTACGCCAGGCTTTGAACCAGCCTGGTCCGGTGCTGCATCGTTGAATGACGCTAGTAGCCATCGAGGATCTCACGGCAGTTCACTAGCCATGCACCCTGCTGTCATGCAGTTTTCGGAGGAACCCGGACCGATTGCCACTGAAGCTGAGCATCTGCAACGTCGGCCACCTGCCGCTAGATTTCCAGGCCAGCAGTCCAAGCTGGACACCATTCCAGGCTCTGTCGCTGTCTCCGAAATCGCGAGCGGTGATCACCACTGGATGCACTCTGGCGCAACGAGCCAGCGTGGCGACCTCTCAGTACCTCCCAAGCTTCCATCGATCCCTGCTTCAAGCCCTCTTATCTTGCAGGGAGCTACGTCGTTTGCACCGCAGAACTCTCTAGCTGTCAACGCTGTGTTTCCGGCTGCTGTCGGATTGGCGGGACCGAGCCTGACTGCTGAAGCCGGCGCCGACACGTTTCAGTCGTCCAATGGTACCTACAACAGTGACGGCACCTACAACACTTATACGGGAGCTGTCAAGGGGCAACTTCGCGTAGTTGGCGAGTCTACCGAAGGCCCTATGAGCATCCTTGAAGAAGCTTCTCACAGCAGGGCACCGAGGCGAGACATGAGCGGTGACTCAAAGAACGGCGAGTTCTGGGTGGATGCTTCTGAGAAGGCGCAACTTGGTGCTGCGGGCAGACGACTTGGCCAACACTCTGCCAACAACAGCACTTGGAGCATCAACAAGACGGGGAGCCGAATGATCGAGATGCTTGACACAGACGAACAACCTAACCTGCCAACTTCTGTCACTGGCCCTGATGAGCCATCTCGAAAGCAGATAGCTGCTCCTTCCCGACCTTCGTTTTGGAAGGAGCGCACCAAGTCGTCCCAATCTATCACCAAGGTCTTCCGCAACTCTCCTCTCACTGGTGCGCATGCAGCGCCCTCCGATCGCTCTCCTGCGATGAGTACCAACAGTGCACGTTTCGGCGGAGCCCTCGCCGACTCTGCTGGAGCCAATGGCATTTCTGGTCGAGCTGCCGAGACTGAGCATCTGCCACTGCTCGATCTAGGCAAGTCGGCGACATCTTCGGCGGACTCGCCCAAGCCGATGGATGGAGAGGCTGACATGTGGAAAGAGTCGTCGATGGCCAGGTCTGCTAACAATGCGATGCGAAAGTGGACCAGGAAGAAGCCAGGCAAGAGCGCATCCAAGGGCAACGAGGTGGATGTGGATGAGCTCTTTGGTTGAGATGCGACGCCTAGCTAGACCAGCTCTCCCTTCTGAAATCTTGGTGCTGTATCTGAACAACGATTTGCTCCTCGACACTGTATTATTATTTGCATTCGTTTCCGCATCCATTCAATTTCACTTGCTAACATCAGGACCAGGAAGATCTGTTAAAATGTGAAGAAGTTTTGTCCCGATAACTGACGATCGGGAAGAGTCTGAGTACGATGTCACTACTGTTTTAGGGCAGAAACATATATACTCGATTGACTAAGGAAAGAAATGTGGTGGGAGCCTCGAGCTCGGCGCTTGATATATATACAAACTATCGGCATATGCCAAAGGTGGGAGCATTCCACTTAATGACGATGTCTGTCAACGAGGGTGACTAAGTTGTACCCGATCTCTAGTGAGATCGGCTTTGCCCGATCTCTTTCGTATCCGCTTACGTCAACTCGCATCATCATATTGGATCGTTTCCTTCAGCAAGATCTTCGTGTCCCTAAGTCGACAACAGCAGCCGTACTGCACAGAGTAGTAGGCCGCCAAGAGATGTCGCTGCAGGCCATGCAGACATTACCTTCTCATGACGCTGGAGACGGCTTGGCAATTTTCACCGTCTGGCATCCACAAGTACCGAAACCAGCTGAACAGCGTCGGAGAAATTGATTTGTCAGGCTATGTAAGGTGGCCAAGCACAACAACGTCAGCCAAGGCTCTGAGGTTCGAGTAGAGAAGCTTTCTGCATCAGCAAGCCTCGAGATTTCAAAAAGACGAAAAAGAAAAAAAGAAACTGCAAATAAACATGCAGAAAGGGTTGAATCGAGCTGGCAGTCGTTGACAATCGCCGCGCTGCTCGCTTGGAACATGTTGCATCTCGAAAACGTAGAGTTCCACGCCGCTTTGCGGACTTTGGTGGTTCAATTTTAATTTTTGCACGCTGCTGCTGCTGTGTGTGTGTTGTGTTGCCTCTCACTGTGTCCCTTTTCTGCAGGTTCTCAGCGCGAATCGACGCTGCAGCCAAATGCTGTGCTCCTTTTTTTTTTTCTTTTTCTTTTTCTTTTTTTTTCTGTGTTTTTCTATCTTTTGCGACCTCGCCTCGGCTAGCTGCTCTGTGTGATCGAACTGAACTAAATTTTCGATCCTTTCCCCCCTCTTTTATTCCCAAATGGCCCTCAATCGCACCCCTGTCCATCTCGAGATTCCCTCCTATTTGGCCTCTCTCTTGAAAACACGCGGAGATCCGATTCAGTTTCTTTCTCTGGTAAACCGCACACGTTTGGCTGATTGTGATTGATTTCACAAATCAAGATGGGAAAGGAAATCACACAGTCACACACAGGCTGGGTGCCGGTGTGTGCGCCGCTTTGCTGCCGCTCCTGTTTTTGTTTTTGTTTTTGTTTTTGTTTTTTGTTCTCGTTTCTCCTTTTCTGTAATCCCTTCAATTTTGCGCTCTGCTGAGGTGTGGCTTTGGGTTAGCATTAGCGAAACAGCAGCAGCAACAGCACAGTCAGTCTAGCTCGGAAGCAACAACCGATCTCTACCAAACTCTCTCTCTCTCTTTCTCTCGATCCTCCTCCTCTTTCTCTTCCTCACCTCACCGCTTGTTTTCTCAACTGGCCAACGCTCTTGTTGAACCTTCTCACTGCCTTTCTCACTTCATCTCATCATCTTTGGCACCGCTTACCGTTCACCCTCTCGTTGCCGTCATCGTCGTCTTTGTCGGCTCACCGAGATCATCGTCTGGCCATCGACGATTCATCACTCCACCTGTGCCCATCATCGCATCATCGCATCTCGTTCACGATCGATCAGCAGCACCATCATCCTCATCATCACTTCTCTCTACTCGTTAGTCAAGCCAAGCTCGCTCTATCTAGGCATAGAAACAGCGTGCAGCTGACATCAAAAGGACAGCCCCACCGCCATCCATCATTATTATTTTCCTCATCGCCCGCTAGCATCCGCCCCGCTCGGTGACATTTCACTATCATGCACTTCGTCAACCGCATCGGCCTATTGGCCGCATTGCTGGCCCTCGCACAATATGCGCAGGCAGCAACCGTCACTGTCACACAAATCTCATGTGGTTACCTGTACTTCACCCTTGGTCTCACACCTGCCGAGAGCACAAATGCCCAATACCTTGGCGTCTACCAAGGCACCACCATGATCTCCGAGATCCAGTTCAACGCTGCTTACGCCAGCACCAACTCGTATCAGTGGTACGCTCCTTTCTTCCAAGGCGTCACCGTCGAATCTGGACCTCAGCAGATCAGCTTCCGTCTCCTCGACACAGACGAGGAGCCGATCACCGCCTACCCTGCTATCACTCAGACGCTTAACTTCCAGTGTGGTACCACCGTCACCACTTCGTCTGCTGCTGCCAGTTCGCCGACTCGAGGCTCTGGTAGATCCAGCAACAACGATAGTGGCAACAGCAACAGTGCCTCCAGCTCTGGTTCCTCCTCGTCCAACACTGGCGCCATCGCTGGTGGTGTCGCCGGTGGTGTCATCGCCCTCGCTGCCATTGGTCTTCTTGCCTTCTGCTTGATGAGGAAGAAGAAGAGACAGCAGCGCAACCAGCAGAGCCGTATTCGCAACGACGAGGCCGACGAGGCTGCCTTCCGTGCCCCGAACAACGATTCGACCACTTCGCTTGCTACAGCCCCCGAGACTGTCAACACGCCCATGATGCGCGATATCTCCACTAAGAACGTCTTTGCTGACCCTACCACTTTGACTACATCTGGTGCCCTCTCCGGTACCTCGACCCAATTCACTGCTGCCAATAACAATCCCGGATCTGGTATGGGTGCTGGTGCTGCCGCTGCAGGTGGTATTGGTGCCGCCGCTATTGCTGCTCGCAAGCAGTCGCGTGAACAGACACGCGCTCGATCGCCCAGCAGTGCTTCCGGTAGCAGCCCATCTTCCGAATTCTCCAAGGACAACTCTACACCTTCGTCGCAACTTGCTCCCCCTGTCTCTGCTATGCCTGCCTCTGTCGCTCCTTCTTCTTCATCGTCTCAGCCTGCACCGATGACCGCTCAGAACACACAGCCTGCTTCCTACCCATCCGCATCTTTTTCCTCAAGTCCATCAACCAGCGCTCAAGCTTCTTCCTCTTCTGCAGCACCCGCCGCAGTTGGTGGTACCGCAGCAGCAACTATTACTTCCGGTGCCACTGCCAAGGCAAGCTCAAGCTCGGACAACAACAACAACAACAACAACAACAACAACAAGACCAAGACCAGCAAGTGGGGCTTCAACCGCGTTTCCAAGGACATGGGCAACAGCAACAACAACAGCAACAGCAACAAGCTTCCCTACCCGCAAGCCGTTCCTGAGCCTATCGCCGCTCCTGCCCCTGCTGCTGCCCCTGCTTCGTCCTCTTCCACAACCCCATCCCCCACAAGCGCCTCTCCTGAGGTCCCTTCTTCTCCTTCGCGTTCGTTCAAGGTGATCCAAAAGGCTTCGCCTGCCCCTATTCCACAATCCATGGCTGGTCCTAGCAGCGCCTCGATTGCTCCTCCTCGTTCCGGCCCCGCTACACCAGCAGGTTCGATTCGTGGCACCAACTACTCGCGTGCACCATCGGTTGCCTCCATGTCGGCTGGCTTCACTGATGCGCCACCTCTCCCCTCTGGTGCCGCCTCTGTTGCTTCTGCGCCAGTGGGCGAGTTTGGCAGTCAAAACATAGCTGGTATCGGTGCTGGTCGTTCGTTCGCTGCTTCAAGTGGTAACTCGACAAAATGGCACCAGCAGAGTTACAACATCATGCCCAATTTCAGTCACAGGGCGTTGGCGAGGTCAACTCAATTGGATGAGGACTTGATCTTCGGTCACTTGGGTATGGGATTAAACCCTCCTCAGCCACCAACAATGGCAGGTAACGGAAGCGAGACTGGCAGCGCAAGGAGTGCCAAGAGCAAGACTGATCCTTTCGGTGATCGTTAAGCCTCTAATCCATCATAGCAAAATTCTTTCTCTCCCTCGTCTCTTTGCATCATCCCACACATCGGTTTCGTCAGAACAATATCTTTTGCCAACTTTATCACATTCTTTCAACTGTTTCTTGCCTCTTAATCTCGATCTGTATATTTCTCAAGTGGTTGTGCATGCAATCTTATCAGACACTACATGATCGGTGGATTCATCAACGGTGTGTGTTTGATGACTGTGCGTGGGATTCAAAGAGCGAGGAGTACAAAAGAAAGAGAGGTCGAGACTAAGCTTTTGACCCGATTCGGAGGAAGCTTGATAGACTGGCATCAAGCTCTGGTTTCTGAGCTGTGATTGAGATCAATTCGTTTGCCTACCACCATTATCAGTAGGATGAAAACAATGTCAGCTGTCTGTCTCGTCACCTTACTTGTAGTATGCTAAGGGCGGCTAAGCGCTTACCTCCAGATTGCCAGGATAGTCGCTCGTTCCACCGCTCTTGATCAATCTTCTGTCGCGTTTCAGCTTTACTATGTCGGATTGCGATAGTTCAAGTTGATCCGATTGATGTTTGAGCGTTTTGGAAAGTTCGACGATTTGTTCTGCTTCGGGGAGTAACATTTGCTCCAATTCCATCTACGCATGCAATCAAAGAATATACCGTTAGTGTCAAACGAATAGGAGTGTAAGAAAGATGAGCGAGTGGCAACTTACAATCTCAGCGTTCATTCCCAAACTCATCGTGTCAATTCCCCTTGACGATTCAGGCTTCTCAGCACGAAGAAGAGCTCCTTCCTCTTCTAAACGCCAAGATAGCATGGTGCTCGCAAGATCTCGACGTGCGCTACTAGCAGCGGAAGACGTGAGGAGGGAGGATGTCGTGCCTTGAGGAATGCGTGGGAGGGGAGGCACGAGGCCTGATTCGAGTTTACCGTCGATTCGATTGAGTGCGCGAGTGAGGGAGTCAGCTACCATTGAACGGATGTTCTTTGGCATCGAGTTGAGTAGTGGACTGCAAACAATACAGAAACAGACGCAGCCGTGGGTCAGTAAAATTGAATGAGGAGGAAAATCGTGGAGATGGAAGGTGTGCTCACATAGCAGTACGCCAAATCAATCCACCTTCAGAGGTAACGCATTCACGTTCCTCGACGCTGAGTCGGCGCCATTTTCGCAGCCTTTCTCGTTCACTCGGCCATCCTTTCCGATTTTTTGCTTTCAATCTCCTTGTGCCTGGTACTGTTGCATCTGGATCATCTGATGACATGCCCGCCTCTTCGTCTTCTTCAGATTGCACTTCTGACGCGTCCGAATCTTCATCTGAAACGCCATCGACGAGGGAAACGTCCGATGCCGAATCCTCGTCTCCTTCGACTGGTCGGGAATGCCGCGTTGCACTCTGAGGGAGTCCAAGGGCAGGTTTCGACTTGGCTTTGGCAGCGCTAGCAGGAGGTCTGCTCCGAGGCTTCTGGGCAGGCGGACCCATGGACGTGGATGCTGAAGCATCGGCTGAGGCGGCTGCAAGAGAAGCTTTAGAGGATCTACCGCGCTTCTTCGCTGGAGGGGTTTTGGATGTAGAGGTGTCAATATCGGTTGCGCGAAACTTTGGTGGTCTACCACGAGGCCTGTTCTGGTCGGAGAAGGAGACGCTAGCATTACCAGGTGATGTGAGTGTACGGCTTCCTGGTGTGCTCAAGATCGACTTTGGTGGTCGACCACGCGGTCGTGGAGCGGCTGAAGAGGAAGCGTAGGAAGAAGTGCTGGTATCGGCGAGTGCGCGCATGGCAGGTGTGGTGAGCGCTGACCTTGGTGGTCGGCCAGGTTTATTTGGTGCCGCTGTCGATGCGAGGGAGACGTTGCCGACGTTGCGGGCTCGGTAGGCTTGGGTTGCATAGCGTGCAGGTGTAGGGGCTCCGACAGTTGAGCTTAGCGATACGTCGCCGCGATTAGGTGGACGGTTCTTTGTGGGAGGCGGCATTGTGCTGAGATGGCGAACTTGGAGGGAGATGGTCTCGTCGTTGTTGATAGCGAAGGATGAGAGTGTTGCGTGTTTTTCAGATGTCAAAACGCGAGTTCCGAAATCGCAACTGCTGATATATGAGATTCTCCACACAGCGACCCTGCAGCAATTCAAGCGAAAGCTCAGCCAAAAATCCAGAACGCGTCGAGACGCGCCGCAACTTTGCTTCGGCCCAACACCTTTCCTATCCTGTTCACAATCATCCATCATACCACCTACCCAAAGGTGACTGCAAACTGCATTCATCAACATCCTCACACGTCTTATCGTCCACCTCGCAACGCAAGTAGCTGCGTCTATACCCGCGGATAACACCTCCCCCAACACCACCCTTTCGACTCTGCATAATCTCCACGTCTTCCAACTCACTAACAAACGATACCAGCAGATCTCAGCCTAAGAACACGCAAGTATGAGCGGAAAGGGGACGAGCTCGCGCGGTCGATCAAGTAGCAGCAATGCGCGTCCATCCGATATGGCAGGTCCATCCAGCCATCGCTTCGCAGAGCGTAGGCAGGAACGTATGCGAGGAGCAGGAACAGCAGTTGCTATGCAGAGAGACTTTGCATTCAAGTTACCTCCCAAGAGATCCGGTCCATCTGCTGCAGTGACAGCGTCAACATCCAGACAAGCAGATGCATCGATTTCGGTCGACTCGACAGGTGCAACACGCAAACGAGGTCGACCACGAGGTTCAGGGCCTCGTCAGAGAGAGAGGGCGGCAGCAGAAACAGCGGCAGCAACAGCAGCAGCGGCAGCAGCAGAAGAGTCCTTCGACAGTCCCGCAGGTTATGGCGCTTACTCACTGCCCATTGACGAGAACATCGATCCAGCACTTCTGTCTCAGCATTTGGATGCATCGAGTAGTATCGGTGTAGCAAGGCGGGTCGCTCGGCCAGATGCCGGTCCAATGGCGAGTACACCCGCGGCGTCACGGATCATTCAGAAGCAACTACGCGTATCGTCTTCCACCCTCAGAGCTCCTTCTAGTGCCGGACAAGGTTATGCAGATGGTCGGGATGAGGACTTTGGAAGTCAGATTGGTGATGTGGATGACAACTCCCGCGATGATTCTAACTCGAGCGGAGGAGCAGGTGTTGGCATGATGGATGCTTCGCCAGGCTGGAACGACAACTACGGGCAGATGGACGAGTCTTTGCCAATGATTCCGAGTCCTGTTGCGTCGTCTTCTCATGTCGATGCTTCGGTTCGTCGTATGCGTCCGAGCATAGGAGGCACCAGTGTTTCTCGACTGAGCATAGCGGGCAGCACCCACGGCGATTCACCAGCAGCACGTGCAGCACAGCGAAACCTGCAATCACGGCAACAACGTCGACAAGGCAGTCCTGGCTCAGAGACACAGAAGCGACGGGGTCGACCGCCCAAAGCAGCTGGTGCGCAGCCATCGAGACGTCGCGCACTTATGCAAGAGCCTTCCGAATACGACGAGACAGTCATGGATCAGACCATGGTCGAGCGTCAACGTGGCACCGCACCCTCCAACTCGGGCCCAACACGCGGCAAAGATCTGCAAAGGCGACTCAAACGAGCTCTTACTCTCGTCTTCTCCGCCGACTCCGCTGCCGCTGACGAGGAAGAGGGCGATGACTCAACACGACCATCCAAAAGACGCAAGTCGGCGAAATACCTCAACGATGTCGACATCATCTGGTCCATCGTCGATGAAGAACTTCGTTCTGCGATCGAGGAGCAACCTGCCAAAGCGCCTTTCCTCGCACTCAAAGCATTACGAAAGTCGGTCAGAGCCAACTTTCTGAACCTCAGCGAGAAGACAGATACTCGAACAACGCTCATTTCGCAACTGGTAAGGGCGAGGAAGCAGAAGAGGCTACTGAGGAAAGACGTGTTTGCAAAGAGAAGTGAGTTGGCAAAGTCAACAGTCGAGTGCAAAGAGAGGGAAAAAGAGGTGGAGGGTTGGAAGAAGGAGGTCAAGGATGTGAGGAAGGTGAATGCCTTCTTGCTTAACCTGCGCGAGATCGCTGCTGCTTGGACCTGATCCAGCACAGCGATGGATGGAAATATACAACTGCAGCTTGCGTCACTAGCCTATCTTACCTCATCATCTGTCACAATCTTGTACCAAAGGAAGCATCGCCAAGCTGATCATGGTAATTGGTGACTTTGTTTTGTGTTCGTGCAAGTCTGTATTACAAGGGGTCGCGTTGATACTTGGCAGCCACTGATCTAGTTCTCGCGCTTGATGATGATAGCGCTAGCTCCACCGCCACCGTTGCAGACACCGGCACAACCGTACTGACCAGGCTTCAAGGCGTGAGCCAAGGTGACAACGATCCTGGCACCCGACGAACCGATAGGGTGACCGAGCGAAACACCTCCACCAAGAACGTTGACCTTGCTAGCGTCTAATCCGAGCATCTGGTTGTTAGCCAATGCGACGGCAGAGAAAGCCTCGTTGATCTCGAAGAGCGAGATGTCGTCCTTGGTCAAACCGGCACGTTCAAGAGCCTTGGGAATAGCGTAAGCAGGAGCGATGGGGAAGTCGATAGGTGCGCATGCAGCATCAGCGAATGCGACAATCTTGGCCAAAGGCTTGACGCCCAACTTCTGAACCTCGGCTTCGGAAGCAAGGACAACAGCGGAAGCACCGTCGTTCAAGGTGGAAGCGTTGGCAGCAGTGATGGTCCCGTTCTTGTCGAAAACGGGTCGGAGAGTGGGGATCTTTTCGAGCTTGACGTTCTTGTACTCTTCGTCTTCGGAGATGACAACATCGCCCTTCTTGTCAGAGATGGTGACGGGGGCAATTTCGTTGGCGAAAGCGTCGGCCTTCCATGCCTCGGCAGAGCGACGGTAGGATTCGATGGCAAAGTTGTCCTGCTGTTCACGAGTGATGGAGAGCTTCTTGGCAGTGTTTTCGGCACAGTTGCCCATGGCGACCTGGTTGTAGACATCGTGAAGACCGTCCTTAACAATGGCATCGGTGGCCTGGACGTGGCCGTAAGTGTTGCCTCGGGGAAGGTAGTAGCTGTATAGCCGCAGCGTGTTGTCACCAGGGATGCGAAGTGGAATCGAATGTCAGTAATGCGGTTCATGTTGCACAATGTCTTTCGATCCCGTCACCATTCCAAGCTTTCATCCTTTCCTCCACGCCTGTGCCAACATCAGCCAGTTCGGGTAGGCCTGCTCCAAGTGGAATGTCGAGATCGGACGGCTGCTGAGCGTGGGGCATCGCAGCGTCGCTCCCTGGGCATAGCTAAGCCTTCTGGTGCCCTCAGTCCGAGAGCAGGCGGCCAAGTGGGACAATCGGCTGAACGGGGCAAATGGGCAAAAGTTGCTTCCAGCAGTATGGATTGTACGCGCTTAGTCCGCGCTGTTAGACTGCGTGCAATTTTGCTGTCGACCTTTGCCTGTTTCTCGACCTTTTTTCTTTTTTTTTTTTTTTTTTTCTCTGCTCTTTTGAGCGAAAAAAAGGTAGGCGCGGACATATCGGTGCAAATCGAGCGCGGTGCCCCGAGAGATGCGAGGAGGAGGAGCATGGACTTTCTCCTGAGCCGGCTATAGGTGGAGTTGATCCGTGTGTGCGCAGTCGGTCGGTCCTCCCTGGAAGCGCAGCGGCAGCAGCCAATACTGCCTCTCCTGCAAGAGATTTGATGTTGGGATGATGATGGCGGCGAGGGATGTTGTTGTGAATGATACTTACGGAGCGTTGGACATGGACTCCATACCACCAGCAACCATGACACCGCGCTGACCGAGAGCGATGTTCTGAGCAGCAAGCGAGATGGCCTTCATGCCGGAAGCGCAGACCTTGTTGATGGTGGTAGCCTCGGTGGTGTCGGGGCAACCAGCCTTGAGTGCGACCTGACGAGCAGGAGCCTGGCCGACGTTGCCCTGGAGAACGTTACCCATGTAGACCTCCTCGATCTGGTCGGGTTTCAAGCCGGCACGCTCGATAGCAGCCTTGACGGCTACAACACCGAGCTCGGGAGCGGTAGCCTTCTTGAGCACACCATTGAACGATCCGACGGGAGTTCGGGCGGCGGAAAGGATGAAAACGTCGTTGATCTTCGACTGTTTGGCCCATCATTGGAGCAAAAAGTAAGAGAGGTTCGTAAGCTTAGTCGCCATCATGTGGGGTAACAAGTAGTCCAGGGCCCATTTTTCTGGACTCTAGCCAAAGGCGACAACACTTACCATGATTCGAGCTGTCTGAGAGAGTCGAGCGACGGCGGTTTGGTAGAATGCTGGCATCGGAGTCGAGAGGAACAGAAGCAAGACAAAGGCGAAGGTGGGATTGGGTTGTGATTGGAATAGGCGAAAGGTGGGGAGAGGGCCCAATCACATCGATACAGGCAGAGCTGTATCGATTTTGAGAAGAACCGTACGACTTTGGTGCTGCACACACCAACACATGCGCGCGCTAGAAACATGCTACAGAAGACACAGCATCAGGCCATCACAACAGTGACTTCGCTTTTGTTTGCGAAGCTTTGCCGATGTTGCTGCACTCAACCCAAACTCGCGGCTGCTGTGTTGGCTGCCGAGAGTTGGATTTGGAGAGTCGGAAGAACACGGTTGTTAGACCATCTATGTAGTGACATTTCCTTTCCACCTTGCTTTACACGCACGAAAGCAGAGTCACGTGAGATCCCTGCCTTTATTGTGGGGGAAAAGGTCCAGAAGAAAGTCGAATTTCGACTTGGGCAATTTTTCGAGACGACCTGACTTTTCTTGAGAATTTGGCAAGCTCAGCAGCAAGCAGCACAGAGTCAATTTAACACCACCGAAGCTTGGCATTGCAACTGCAGCTCGCACCGTTGCTGCGGTCACACTTTGGACCTCGTCGCGATCAGGAACAGGAGCAGGAGCAACATAACCACAACCATCTTGTTCTCAAAGCGTCCACCGTCGCACCAAACCCACGCCTTTGAAAAGTGGCCCAATTCACTGCTTGTCTTTGCACAAGCTTGGGCCGATCCGCGACATCCCCTCATCATTGCACGGAAGCTACATTCGGCGGGGCGTGGTCCCTCGGACAACACGACGACCACGCCGCCGTCGTCCTCTATACCCAGCAGCGCCACCCTGCCCCTAGCCATACCTTTCCTTAACACCGCTGTCCATCTTCCACCAGCACCTATCTCCGCTGTGTCTTTGAACGCAGCTCAAAATGCGCTCTCCAATTCTACCGCCAGTTCATCCGGCAGCGTTGCACCGGTTCCATTAGGCTTGCCGGTGACCCAGCTGCCGACTACTCTATCCGCGGTCCCAGATGTCTCGAACGCGCTAGCCGCCAACACCATGCTTGCGATCCCAAACATTCCTCCTAGCACAGCAGATGGAGGTTTCATTGCCGACACTAGTGCCGTCGCTGCACCACAATCCCGTCTACCCACGCCAACTGATACCATGATCGACTCACAATCAATTCAAGCTCAGGTTGAAGCACTCATCACGTCAACGTCCAGCTCAGTCATTGCAAATTCCGCCAGCACACAGAATGCAGCGACCCAGAATGTGCCCCTGACCGCTTTCCCGACAGTGCCGACAACAGGGGCCCTGCCAATACTTGCCGGAGCTCAGACTGAAGCGCCCATAGCAAGCGTTGGTACAGCAGCAGCTGCCACGGCTCAAGCTCAAAGCATACCTCAGCCGCAGGAAATGACCGGCGCCGTGCCGGCGACGAAGACGACAACAACAACGACAGCACCTTCAAATCTGGCCACATCCGTCGAAGCTTCTCTCGTAACAGGGCCGAGCTTTCAAAACACGTTTGCACAGTATCAGTTTCCGCAGAACTGCGACAGAGCCTTCAAAGAAGCAGCTCGTGCAACATCTGAAGAGACTACGAGACTTGGAAGCGCAACACCGGCCTCTTCGACTGCCCTCCATGCTCCTGCCAACAATGCTATAGTTGCTACAGTCAGCAAACAGGAAGCGAAGGCAGCATCCATGACACGAGAAGAGGAGGAGAAGGCTGCCGACGCATTGATAGCTGAGCTCGATGCTCAGGAAGCTTCAGCACAAGCATCGCAGACAGTTGCTCAGACAGAGCCACTCTCGGGATCGGACTTGGTTGCAGCAGTTAAAGCTATCGGACTGGAGGCTGACGCCGACTTTCTCGGCACAAGTGGTGGTATGAGCGAGGATCAACGCGCGCTGGCTGCTGCCATTCAACGTCTGGGCGATGCGCACGGCGAGGAAGCAGAGAAAGCGATACAGCAAGCAGCGGCGGCGGCAGCGGCAGCGGCTGCAGCCAGAGCATCTCAAGAGCTTGCAAGGGCGGCCGCAAAGGAGCAAGGAAACGCTGGAAGCTCACTGGCAAGTAGCTCACGCAGCGTTGGCGGCTCATCGACACCAGCCTCGGCCGCCTCTCGAGCAACATCAAGATCAGGCTCAGGCCCAGTGAAGCGATTCCCCTGTCCCAAGTGCGACAAGGCCTTTGCACGCGCCTACAATCTCAACACACACCTCTCTACGCACGACCCTGACCCGAATCGGTCTAAGCCATTCGCTTGCCCATATCCGAGCTGCAAGTCTGAAGGTGGTCGTTCTTTCAGTCGAAAGCATGATCTTCAGCGCCACGTCGCTAGCATCCACGAGAACGAGGCAGAGCCTGGCATCCATGGTGACCCAGAGGAAGTAGTCAATGGCGACACGGGCGGTCTCGTCTCGCTGGGGTTGGGCACGCCAGGAAAGAAGTTTCGCTGTCACGGCTGCGGACGATCGTTCGTTCGGAGAGATGCATGCAATCGGCATCAGTGCGATGGCAAAGACAGTCCCTCGAATCGCACTTCCACGTCACCTTCCGGCACACCTTTTGCCTCTTCAGTGTCACCAAGGCCCAACACTGCGCACGGCATCAATGGTGGTAGCCCTGTCATATTGCCTCCAGTACGATCCACAGGTGCTGCGCCGATGTACATGGCAGCAGCAAGCTCATATGCAAGAGGATCGACATCAGGTTCATCTTCGCCGGTTGGTTCAAATGCAAGCAAACAGCCCTCCGGAAGCAGATCCTCGAGCAGTCTGTCCAAAGAAGTGCAGGCGGTCGCAAAACAGCTGCAAGCTCGCGTCGAAGCACAATCGCCTGGACTGCAAGTACATGGTACTCAGCAGCGTCCTATGGCACTGCTACCTGGAGGCGAGCGTCGCAATTTCCCACTATCCGCCATCTCACTCTATGCTTCGACAGGTTCGTCGGGCCTTCATTCTAGCTCCAGCTCTTCTTCAGGCGGAAGCAAGGCTCAGATCGCAAAATGAGCCTACTTTTCGCGACCCGTCGTCCCTTAGTTGATGTGCTTCGTTCCTCCGTCGATGTTTCTCATTTTCTTCCTGTCTCGTCCATGTATTTGTTCCGTCTGGTCAGGCATATTTTCTGTACTTCTATCCTTCTTCATCATCGATTATTCCATCTTGGTCAGATACGATTGCTTACTTGGCGATTCGATTGCTTACTTGGCGATTCGAGTCGCTATGCATCGCGCCTATCTTGAGTCTGTCAAACATGAAAATCGTATTTGAGATGTGCAAGGACTCGATTGCATCAAACAACAGACAATGATGATTGGGGCAAGAATGGATAGAGACTGCGCCTTGAGTCATGGGATGAAAACACCGCAATGACATCTGTGGCCCCTTGCTTCCCAATACGGTTGACGTTCATGGAAGCGTCTCAATGCGTCGCGCTCAGCTGCCGCTTCTGCCTCTTCCAAGGTCATGCTTCCGCCGTGGCTCCAGAGAAACGAGTCCAGTAAGTCGACAAAGTTGGGGATGTGTGCGTTGATGATGTGAATGTCGCGCAGACGGGAAACAACCTCCTCCAACGTCCACCTTTTGCCAAATCCGCGCCATCGATCGGTGAGATAAGCCTTGCAAAGCTTGCCTTCCGGTAGAAATCTCAGTCGATATTCTGCTAAAGCTTGTGTCAAAGCTTCGCGTCGTGTCTCTTGGGCGGCATCGCTGTTCTCTTGACGCTTTCTTTTTGTCTCTCTCGCTTTCTGTGCTGCTTTCTCGAGGGTTGTGTTCATTGCCTGGTGCTTTTCATCGCTTTTGCGTCGAAGGTCGCGGACCATGTAGATGCGCATAGGTGGACCTCTCAGATTATAAAGATTGGGACGTGTTTGGCATGAGAGGTCGGCGATGTCGACATCGTTCAAGCGAAACTCTGCTTTTGCGCGGGTGACGGTCATGGTCGCGTACTCCTCCGTTTCCATGCAGTCAGGGCATATCTTGAAACGAAGAAAGGGGTGACTTTTGGTTCGCGCGGCTAGGACGCCATCGCAGCGGTGACAACGTCGCTTAGGATAACGCCGAACGACTTCTCGAAACAAGTGCTTGGGAAGATACCTAACGTGGAATTGTGTGAGGAGAATATTTTCCCAAAGATTGGTGCTTGCGAGCAGCCAGCTGCGAAGCTCACTTGCCGTCTGGGCGAGTGCAATTAGGGAGCGAATACTCAGCAGAGAGATGACCTGCTGTAGAATCTCCATGGGGAGCTGGGTGAGGCAACAAACTGGGGTGCGTTGGGCAAGCAATGCAGCTGATGAGTCGAATGGCGCCTGAATTTGTGATGGTGAGGTCAGCACCGCGTTCTGGGCAGGCTGCGCAGCCCTCGTCTGAGATCGCGTCTTCATACTGCTCTTGAAGCGACGTCTTAGGAAGGGAGCTTATGAGGACGTGCAGAGGTGATGGGTGAGCAGATCAGAGATGGTGGCGAGATACAAGGTGGCTCTCATCAAGGCTGCTCGCAGCTCTATATAGAAGAGGATGGTAGGCGCGCCGACGCATACATCCTCCTGCCCAAGAGGCTATGATACTGTTGGCATCTGACTTTGGGCTGCTCAGCGGCTTCTGCCTGATAAGTCGCTGAGTTGGGGCTGGAGGAGCGACAGTGTTCTCTCCTGCAGTCGACTCCTGACTAAATGGATTGAGGAGCAAGAGGAAGCTCACAAGGGTTTGCTTTCAGCTGAGCTGCTCGGATGGCTTCCGAATGGCTGATTCACCACGCTCAAGGCCTCCATCCCAAGTGCCGATGCACTCTGCCAGCTGGACGTTGTCACGAGACGAGGATCTGGAGCCCTTTGGCTACCGCGTTGGTGAAGTCGAGCTCTGTGGCTTGCACGAGGCTCTGTGCTTCCTATCCACGATGCACCAACTCAGCTTCCGGCATTTTCGAGAAGGGCAGCGCTCTCTGGCACGCTGTTCGCAAGGGGAAGCCATAGCTGAGCATTCAAGCACGTAGGCGGTGTGACAGTGAATCTTGCGTGGATGATGCTTTCTGACGTGCCAATCCAGCCATCTGACTTTGAGAGATGCCTATCGGCTATTCCGACTGCCAACCCAAAAGCCATTCCAGTTCCTGGGCAAAGGGCGGGACAGAGTCGTGTGAACGCGAGCCGGGCGTCGAAACTGCATCGGCTGTCATCTTGCTCCTTCTCCCATCCCGCAGCGTGTTGCAACAGATTGACGCTTTGGCCAACCTACACTTCAGTCTCTCGGTGCTTCCAGCGCACACAACCCCTCTTATCGGCTTCCCTCCGCCGGCTCCATATTGGCTACGATCTCTGCTGCTGCTGCCTCTCTATCAAGTTGAACAAGGTCTTGTCCCTTTTGCAGTGTCAGCCTCAACATTCACAATATCCACAGTTAAAATCCTTGCCCGCGTTTCGTGCTTCAGCCCACGCTACCTGTGTGACTTCTGGAAGGTGGGCGAAAATTCTGATTCGTGTTCGGGGGGGGAATTTTTATTATTATTTAATTATTTTTTTTGTTTGACAAGCACGATTTTTCAAATCAAGAAGAGACCTTCGTATATAGACACTGACGAAGTGCCCAAATATCTCTTTTCCCTCCCTTTTGCTCTTGGAGGGCTGTCAAGCTCGACTTGCGCAAGAGAGCGGAATCTGCACCGGCGGATCGGCCAATCGAGCAGGACTGCATGAATGCAGTGATTTCACTCTGCTGAGTGCACCTTGCCCTTCTGCGCCTCTTCTTCTTGGACGCCGCTGTTGTTGAGTTTGGATGCTTCTCTTCTCAGAGCCGACGTCGTTATCCATGAAAGCCTCTTTCTCTTTGCAACGGCCGCAAGGGCGAAACACGGCGACCTGAACTCTCATGACAGTGATGCTAGTTCGGCTTTCCTTTGCTGCTTCTTGGTTGCGCTGAAAGCTGTTGTTGCCTCTTCTCTGCCTCGCTTCGCTTCGCTGTAATCCTTGTCGATCTGTCTCGAATCGCAACTGGCAGACCCTTCGGTTTTCTGCCTGTTCACTCAACACTTGGGCTCCACTCTTTTCGCCGATCCATCTTTGCCCACATGGCTCAAGCTTCCTTTTCAGCTTCAGCTCCAGTTTGTCCTTCTGTTCGAAGCCGTTTTTGCTTTGATCCTGATCGTCGCTCACTCTCTGTGCTCCTCCCTCTCCTCCATCAACTCCCTCTCCTCCATCAACTCCCTCTCCTCCATCATCTCCCTCGACACACGCTCAGCTCCTATTTCCTGCATCCTCCTAACCTTGAGCTTGTTTGTTCCTCCGATCTATCCCATCACTCATTAGACTTCATACTCACAACCACCGAATAGCTGCAAAAGCTTCATTTCGGCGGAAACAACGAGCTTCAGCGCAAACAACTTTCTTCTCTTACCAAGAGTCAAGCGTCGACCATGCAGATGCCTTGAAGCTTCCATAAACGATACAACTGTGATAGAGGCAATTTTTTTTTTTTTAAAACCCTTCCTTCGCCTTGTCACACTGGAATTAAGCACACCGTGATCACAGCCAAAGCAGTAACTTACAGCAGCACAAGTAAGAGCGCAGACGTTGCTGCATCTTATCATCACAAAATGGCGCAGAACACAAACTCGATCGCCTTTCCAGCGCCGGCGCTATCTGACTCTTCAGCGCCGCGCTCTTCGCCCTCATCGATTGCGCCCTTGCCTCCCCTCCAACACAATACTGTCAGCCAGCTCAGCGTCGATAGAATCGATCAGGACCCCACACCCAACTCGTCTCATCTCACACTCCATGCCACCATACATCCTCGTTCCAGCAGCCTCATACGCTCATCACCATCAAGCTTGCATTCCATAAGCAGCGACAGCGACGACGACGACGACGCAAAGACAACCGTTCACATCGACCACAACAAAAATACAGACGCCGCCAACATGGACAGCAAGCATTCCTCCTCAGAGCTGTTGCCCAAACAGCACAGCTTCGACACGCACCACCTCGCTACCCTCTCTTACAGCGTCGATCTCGGCTCTTCCCAATCTTCCACCCAAACTCGCTATGTCAACCTGGGCATGTCTCGTCCTCTTTCCTTCCATCCAAATGATCAGAAAGTCAATCCACGCGGCATTCGTGATCCCTTTCCACTCCCAGCTTCCCTCGTCGGCTCGGCTACCAGCATGAATGGCTCCACCACTGCCATCAATGAGGCGCCTAACTTCTTTGCCAATCCTTATTCTTGGGACACCATGGATGGAAAAGAGGAACCCGACGATGACCTCCATGATCCGAACATCCAGCCAGATGAACGCCATGGTTGGTTCGGCAGCACAGTGGGCAAAAGAGGTGTGCTCAACATCGGTGTTCTCGCCCTCCTGACGTTCAGCTTGCTGGCTCTTTTCGGCGGATACCCGATCATCTCTTACTTTTACCGACACCATGAAAGTACCAAGGGAGGCTACAACCTCGGCGGTGTAAACGCATCCGGTCAGATTGCAAGCATCCCTGGTCTTAGATCTGCTCTAATCGACCCTGACACTCCCCGAGACGCTTACACCAGGATCAGCCCGGATGGAACCAAAGATATGAAACTTGTCTTCTCCGACGAGTTCAACGTCGAAGGTCGTTCCTTCTACCCCGGCGACGACCCATTCTGGGAGGCGTCCGACTTGCACTACTGGGCCACTAACAACTACGAATGGTACTCGCCCGAAGCCGTCACCACTGCCAACGGCAAGCTCCGCATCACGCTGGACGAAGTGGAAACCAACAACCTCAACTTCCGTAGTGGATTTCTAAGCTCCTGGAACAAGTTCTGTTTCACTGGTGGATATCTGATTGCCAGTGTACAGCTTCCCGGTGCGCCTCGTGTTGCTGGAATGTGGCCAGCCTTCTGGACTATGGGCAATCTTGGACGAGCGGGTTACGGAGCGACCACAGACGGAACCTGGCCATATTCCTACAATGCATGTGATGTCGGCACGCTTATGAATCAGACCGATGCCAACGGCAACCCCGCTGCAGCTGCTATCGGTGGTGATGTCATGTGGAATCGCAAAGCCGAGTCGACTGCACTCTCCTTCTTGCCTGGTCAGCGCCTGTCGGCTTGCACCTGCCCAGGTGAGGAGGACCACCCAGGTCCACAGCTCAAGGATGGAACCTTCCGCGGACGCAGTGCTCCCGAGATCGACGTCTTCGAAGCACAGGTCGACAGCAACCTTGGTCTCACCGTCTCACAATCCATGCAGACCGCTCCTTTCAACATGTACTACAACATCACCAACACCACCGGTCCCGCCTACGAATTCTTCCAGCCCAACTCCCATCTCAACTCGTACAATGGCCAGAACGACCAACAGGCTCTCAGTGGTATTACAGTTGCTTCCCAGCTTGCTGTGCAGAGGGGAGGTGACGATAGCTTCGCCCAGTATGGCTTCGAGTATGTCCCTGGATTGCAGGGCTACATTGACTGGATCTCGGACAACAAGCGCGCGTGGAAGGTCAATGCAGCTGCACTGGCTGCTGACCCCGTATCCATGATCAGCGATCGACCCATCCCAGAAGAGCCAATGTACATCATCTTCAACCTCGGCATCAGTCAGAACTTTGGCACCCCCGACTGGCCTCGTCTCCGCTTCCCCGCTGTGATGCAGGTCGATTGGGTTCGCGTCTACCAAGACCCTGACGCCGAGAACGTAGGCTGCTCACCTCCAGACTTCCCGACCGCAGACTATATTGAGCGCCACAAAGCCGCATACTACAACGCAAACTACACTGTCTGGGGCGGAACACCGGAGCAGGGCGGCTACGGAGGTGTTTGGCCGAGGAACAAGCTCTATCCAGACGGTTGCTCGGCGCCGACACGCACCCAGCCAGGTTCGCTTGTCAAGCCTTACCCACAGGCTCCTGCCGTTCCTTCCAGCCAGATTGCTGTTGGCCAGAACTAGGACTCATACACAAGATTGTTTTCCATCCTTCTCTCTTGCATTTTATTCACAAAGGCAGCGGACCAAGGCATAGTGCTTTTCGGTCCCTCCAAATTTTCTCTCCTGCTGCATCTCTCCTTGTGCCCCTTGATACACCCTCATTTGCATCTGTACCAACAGCTCAAAAGACGAGCATATCTCGCTTTGCCACACTCATCTAGCAATGGACTTTTCAATCAAGAAGTTCACTGGTCACTTTGACTACTGCCTCATGGTGAGCTTTGCTTCTCCAACCAACCCAAGTTGGTCCGCTCGACATCAGGAGACTAAGGTCGCTATTTCTTCCAAGCTCGCACCAGCCTGTGCTTGGCGACCAAGCTGGTGATGACGTAAACGGGAGCGTTTCTTTGTATGGTCACACCTCGGGCAATCACAATCTCACAATTCGTCATCGGATGTGCGAAATAGTACGAATGGTGACCACTTGAGACGTCAATTCTGTCCCCAATCACATACACGGAGGTGCTGAGATTCTCGGCGCATCTGCAAGGGGAAAGCTCAGCCTTCAGGATTGAACCACTGTCGTTGCCCAGCCACCTTCCTCTTGGTTTTCCAGCATCTTCTACAAGACTGCCTCATCGATCTGACCTGTTTGGTCGCTTATGGTCGTGGCCAAGTGCGCCGATAAAGCAGTCATCAACTGGCTCTCGGCAGAGCTTGGTTCGCTCTTCATCGCTAGTCGCTTCTATGATAGCATGTACACTATGGGTAGCGCTCGGGTCTCCTCTCTCGGAGAATACGCCCGGACGGCTCAAGCATACGCTCCTCCCTTGGCCGTACAGCACGGCTACATTTGCCGAACGATAGCAACATCTGTACCAGCACGGCTCTTGCCGATGGTCAGGTCTTTTTCTGGCGTCTGTTACACCTTATGCTTCTGCACAGCAAAAGAGCAGGAAACTAACTTCGGAATTCGGTCGTCAATTGCGGACATCCAGAAGGAACTTTTTGGAGAATTGGGAAAAAGGCAAAACCTTCAATTCGAAGAGTCCACTTTGTGAACCTGACCGCTAATTGCTGCCTGTGACATATTACCATTACCGCCTCGACTAGAAGCAGCCAGTCAACACTGCGCTTCTTTATTCCACATCAACATGGCAGCAGCAACAGCTACAGCTCTATCAGCAGCGTCTACAGTGGCACCAACTGACATGACAAAACTTTTCGCAACGATCCAAAAGTCAGTCACAGCACTCAGCATCTCAGTCAAGGCGTTCGAGAAGGATGTCGTCCAAGTGGCCTCCAACGATACCGCAGACAACCCATTCGCGTATCCAGACGGCATCTCGCTCCTAACAGTCAAGAACGACGCCATGTTCGACTATCTTCACCATGTCATTGCTGTTTGCATCAACAAGGTCTCCGGTCGATCCCTCGCTAGCAGCAGCAGTAGCAAAGCAAGCAGCTCGCAAGGTCCTGCTGATCTCGTTCCGAACCTGGTCAAGCTTCGATTGATGCTCGAAAAGCTACGCCCACTCGAGAATCGTCTCAAATATCAGATGGACAAGCTCCTTCGTGCTGCTGCCGATGCTGACAAGGAGGTCATGCTCGGTCGTTCTAAGCCAGCAACCAAGGATAAGAGGAGCAAGGGCAGCGATGACGGCAGTGACGAAGACGGTGGCGTCAGCGACGATGATCTCGCTTTCCGTCCCAACCCATCCGCATTCATGCAAGACAAAGCTCGGGCCTCAGTCAAATCGTCCAAGTCTCCGAGCAACGACAGGCGTGGGAGGTCGCGTCGTGGCAACTCATCCGACGATTCGAAGGACTCTGACGAGGAAGGAGGAAAGACGGTTGTCTACCGTCCACCCAAGCTCGTACCCATGTCCTACGATCCCGACGCACGCAGCGGAAAGAAAGATCGCTCATCTATCACTCGCAACTCGGCGCTTCTCTCCGATCTTACTGCCGGCATGTCTTCCAACCCTTACGAAGCATCGTCCGCAGGTGTTGGCGTCGGTGGTCGCGGTCGACTTGCAGCCAATACCTCTGCTCGAGCCAAAGCGCTGGCGAGGATGGAAGAGTTCGAAGAGGAGAACCTTACTCGTCTCGTTCAGTCTAAGAAGGACGCACGCAAGCGCAGAAGAGACGAAGCCGATGTGGCGCTGGGCGGAGCTGGTCTCAGTTCAGGTCGCGATGGCAGGAGAAGGATTGGTGGTGGTATGGAGGAAGAGTTTGGTGATCTGCTCAGAGGTGCAGGTCTGGATGGAAGAAACGGCAAGAAGGCAAAGAAGGCTCAGAGTGCCTATGATGCGCTTAGGGCGAACAGCAAGGTTGGCGGCGCATTGCAGAGGTCTAAGAGCGGCGGAGGTGGTCGTTCGCCAGCTGTCGGAGGCAGCAAAAACAACAAGTTCAAGAACCAGGTCAACCGACAAGCGCGCAGGTGACCGCTCTCCATACTCTCGACTGGAAGCGTGTACTCATCCTCCAATCACACTTCACTTTGCGTCCACTGTGGCTCTTCTGAACTGCGCGTGGTAGCTCCGTTTTACGTGGTGGCCCCCATAGCGCATGAATTGGATGCATCTATTCCTAGTTGTCATCATCGTCGTAATCTGCATCGTGTTGCTCCAAGGAGTCAAAGAATCCCACCAAGATTATCTGCTCCTCGTACGCCTCTCCTTGCCCAACTTCCTGCAGAAGCTCTTTTGTCACTCCATCGTCTGCACCTCTTCCCCCACGACCCTGATACTCGGACGCGTCCCTACCCTTTCTTCGTTTTCTTTCAATTCTTTGTTGATCCAACGTCTGCTGGACCCATTTCAGTTTTCCCTCATGAGTGTCTCCGGGCGCTGACGGTGCAAATTGTACAGCAAGGATGTCATGGTATACCTTTTCGGCCAGATGCACTGCTGCGTCTGTCAGACCTGAGATTGAGGTCACTGGCTGGCTGTTCACAGAAGTTGTAGCGGATGATGGAGGAGGGAATGGGATGCTCGAGAGACTCGGCTCGGCAACATTGAGTGGGGATGTAGGGATGACTTGACGATAGGTCAGCTGCAGCAAGGGCTGTGTTGCGTCTGTTGTCAAACGGATGACTTGGTCGAGGACTGGTTTGAGCACTTCGAGTGCTGAGCGCTCTAGTTCCGCCCCCGATGCTTCCGTCTGTACGTAGTAGACATACTGACCCTTTGGACATGAGAATGTGCCTTCGCCCATCATCAGCACCGTCACAGTATTCGCATTGCCGCCAATCGAGCCTGGCGGGAACACGACGAGTCCGGTTTCCGGCGGAAGCTCAGGAGAACTCGACTCCGCATTCTGCTGCTCCTGGTCGTCCACGTTTGTTGTCGCCCCGATAAAGTTCGGCGCGCTGTATTGTATTGGCTTGTCCAGGACCAGCACTGCTCGATGCAACACGACGTCCTCCGACTGTGATGCCGCTGTCTGCTCCGAAACGATGTTCGTGATGTTGAGCTCCTCCAGCACCTCTTCGCTCGAGACGACATAGTCTGCAGTGACCTTGCTCTCGATACCTTCCACGTCAATCTCCCACTTCCCATCTTCTCTTCGCTTGGCAGACTTGATCTGATGAGCCAGAATAAACATCCCCCCCTTGACGGCTGATGCACGGCAGTAGCCCTGCGCCAGCTCTCCCGCACCCCCATACTGTCCGACAAGGTATGCTGAATTGCCGTACCTACCCACACTCTGCATGTGACTCTTTGCCCTTGCCATCGCCGCTTGAGTGCTTTCATTCGGAGTAGCGCAGAGACAGACACCGTAGGCGACTGCGTCTACAAGGTCAGGCGACATCTTGTGCTCTTCCGCCAAGTAACGGACAAAAGGCTTTTGCGCTAGTTCTGGGCTTTGTGCGAGGTCGAGCTGCCAGTCTTCGGTGCCGATGTACATGAGCAACTTCATGAGCTTGCGTTTGGCGATGAGCGAAAGGGTCTTGGTCTTGAAGATGTCCTCTTTGCTAGCGGGGACGCTGGTCAGTGTCATTCTTGCCGAGTCCGATTCGGAACAGGAAGCGACGCAGGTTCTTTCAAGAAGGCGAAAGGTGGCATAGGAGGCGACCTTGGAACGGATGAGACAGTCGATGGACGATCCAGTTGCAGGCAGCAGTGTCGGCGCGAGAGATATCGCATAGTGTCGATCCAGGGTGGCCAGCGAGTCAGGCAGTTTGGACGACTCTCCAGGCTTGTCGGCGTCGGCAGTGTTGAAGGCTGGGAATGTCAAATTGACATTTCCCACTCCGTTGCGTCTTTCAACTTCCGCAGGATTCGAAGAGGTCGTGCTCTGTGTCCATTTGACCAGCTCCGTGAGAGTGAGACTTGCCCATTGATCCGCATAGTAGTCGTTCTTGTCGACATGGATCACAGAAAGCCCGGCTGAAGCAAGAGCTGCGGACAAAATGCTCTGCGTGAGACCTGTGCTGAAGATAGCCACATGATAGTGTGTCTGATCGAGCGACATGGTGCGGCACAAGATGTCGATGCTGATATTGGTGAGGAAGAAGCCGAGCTGTTCAAGCGGGAGGCTGCGTGTGTCAGGGTCCAACACGAATCCGCTCAACCCGAGTTCCGAGAACGAAAAAAAAAAAAAAAAGTTGTTGAACCCTCCACAGCTCTTCGATATTCTTTACAGCCTTCATCGGTGACGCTGTCCGCTGATCCGCTCACCATGAGCGGCATACTAGCAGGCTCGGAGGTGTCGAAAGCTTCGAACCTCTCGACAAAGGCTCAAATCGTCGAAGCAGGGACCGCCGCAAGCAGTTCATTACGAAGCAAAGTGTTGCTTCCCGTCGATATCATCCGCTCCCTCAAGCTGCAGACAGGCGATGTGGTCCTCGTAAAATCAGACGAATCTAGTAGGCCCAGCTTCACTGTTGGCACAGTATGGCCTTCTTTTGCGCTCGAGGCTGGCACTCTCTGCCTCCCTGTTGCTGCTCGGCTGGCGACGGGCTTCGAAGTAGGTCAGACTGTCTCCGTCGTTCCCCTTCAAGCAACTCAGTCCAAGACAACATTGCGGAAACCTCCAACAGCTGCCACCATTCAGCTCATCGTCTCGTCAGAGAGCGGGGCTTCTCCACCTGCTTTTGCAAGGCTGGGCAAGTCCGATCGTCAGATGCTCACGGTTCACGCGAAAGAGTGTCTGACCGATCTTGAATGCGTTCATGCAGGCCAACAGCTTTCATTGACCTTTCAAGGCGAGCTTTTACATTTCATCGTCTCTCGACTCACCGATGTCAATGGACAGCAGGGCTGGACCGTCTCGACATCCATTACATCAGATGCCACTCCGAAGGCCACGACGCAGGTCTGTGTAGTCGGTCGTACCTCGGACGTCACACTCTCTACCGCTGACGCATCACCCAATCACAACACAAGTCCAGCCTCCAATGTTGCGGCGAGCGCTGCTAGAGAGGATCCCTACTCCAAACTTGGAGGTCTAGACCGTCAAATTGCCGAAATAAAGACACTGATCGAGATGCCTCTTATGTCTCCCGAGATCTTCGTGCTGTACGGGCTCAAGCCACCCAAAGGAGTGTTGCTGTACGGTCCGCCTGGAACCGGAAAGACTTCGCTCGCACGAGCTGTGGCCGCTGCTACTGGCTCTTCCTACCTTACCATCAACGGTCCTGAGCTTTCATCCGCCTTTCATGGCGAGACGGAGTCGAAGCTTCGCAGCATCTTTCGTGAGGCCCGACGTAAGAGCCCTTGCATCATCATCATTGACGAGATCGATGCTCTTGCGCCGAGGCGGGAAGGCGGTTCAGGCGAGGGTGCGAACACAGATGGAGCTGGTGAAGTGGAGAGAAGAGTGGTCGCACAGCTGCTCACGCTGCTCGATGGAATGGAGGAGGCTGATGTTGAAGACGACGATGAAGCGCAACAGGACGAGGAGCTGGATTTGCGAAAGCCAATTGATACGGCAGCCGAGAGCGTAAAAGCTGCCAAGAAACCTGCTCGCGTTGTCGTCCTTGCTGCTACCAACAGACCCAACGCTATCGATCCAGCCTTGCGTCGTCCTGGCCGTCTGGATCGCGAGATTGAAATCGGCATCCCGACAGCAGCTGCTAGAGGCGAAATCATCCGAGCCCTGATCAGCACCGTTCCCCACGATCTGACTGCTGAGAAGATCGAAGAGCTTGCAAGCCGCACACATGGGTACGTAGGTGCGGACCTGTCGGCTCTGGTGCGAGAGGCAGGCATGCGCGCCGTACGTCGCACATTCGCCCGTCGCCAGTCGGCTTCAGATCAACTCGAGGCCAAGGTTCAGTCGATGTCACTTCAGTCTGCGCCTGCTGCCGCTAGCGTCGAAGCTTCGACGCTCGACAAGGTCACAGCAGCTGATTTGCAGGCCGCTTTGGTGCTCGTTCGACCCTCTGCCATGCGCGAGATCTTCCTCGAGCCACCGAAAATTTTCTGGTCCGACATCGCTGGCTCCTCTACGCCTTCCGTCGGAGGCTCTGGCGCTCTTTCTGCCAAGTCCGTTCAAGCTCAAGTGCGCGAGTTGGTCGAGTGGCCGATCAAACATTCTGCTGCCTTCTCCCGTCTGGGCATCTCTCCGCCTCGTGGCGTCCTCCTCTATGGACCACCAGGCTGTTCCAAGACACTTATTGCTCGCGCACTCGCCACAGAATCCGGACTCAACTTCCTCGCAGTCAAAGGTCCTGAGCTATACTCCAAGTACGTCGGCGAATCGGAGCGCGCCGTCCGCGACACTTTCAAGAAAGCTCGCGCAGCCGCCCCCAGCATCATCTTCTTCGATGAGATCGATGCCCTTTCCACGAGTCGTGATGGCGATTCCTCCAGTGGCGACGCTCTGAACAGTCGCATCATCGCAACACTGCTAAATGAAATGGACGGCATTGAGGCCATGTCAGATGTTATCGTCATTGGTGCTACGAATAGGCCTCAGTCTCTCGACCCGGCGCTGCTCCGTCCCGGAAGACTCGATAGACTTGTCTACGTAGGACCGCCCGATCACGAGGCTAGGAAGCAGATTCTGAGGTCAAGAATGGCGAAGATGGCAGTTTGTGCCGACCAGATTGATCTTGATAGACTCGGCCAAATGACCGAGGGCTGTTCGGGTGCCGAGGTAGTCTCGATCTGCCAGGAAGCTGGATTGCTTGCTATGGACGAAGACATCAACTGCCAAGCCGTGAGTGTTGACCATCCTTCCTCCTTGCTTTTGTCCTCGTGCGTTAGATCGAGCCTTGTTCTGACCCTCTTTGATTTTTTATTGATGACCTCACAGATCGAGCAACGTCATTTTGAAAGTGCTGCTTCTGCAGTCAAGCGTCGCATCACTTCCTTGATGATCCGACAGTACGAGTCTTGGAGGGACACCCTAGTCGTTTGATATCACCTCGCGACACGGACAGAAAGCCTCCGACCTTCACTTTCGCCTTCAAGAACCATACTGGCTCACACAGGCATTGAGAAGATCGGGATGCGAGAATTCTATTACCGTGACAGTTGAGAGACAGTGTATGTGCTAAATATGAGACCATTGCAGAACAAAGACAAAGAATGAGTGAAGTGCTATTGGGAGAAAGGAAGATGACGAGCTTAGTCGTCACCGTAAGCTGCAATCTTCTGTCACAGCAAGACAGAGCAGTAAGACTCTTCAATCTTGCTAGCGACCAACTGGCTGAAGATGGCGATGTAGAAGAGCACGAACGAGGAAGCAAATAGCCACCAGGGAGGATCGAGTTCTTCTCGGCCTCGCGCCTCACAGATATTCATTTCTATATGATTTGGGGTCTGTATACAGTCGCGTCCAAAATTGCCCGGCATCTAATTAATTTGATATGGTGTTCTCAGGTCCTTTTCATGATGATGACCAGTACCCTAGCCCTAGCCCTAGCCGGTGTGTCTTGCTTGCAGGCAACGCACAATTGCGCTCCGCCAAATTCGAAATTCACGCGACTGCGTTGACCCCCAACGCACTCGAAATTTACACTGCTCAAGTGCCGCAACGCAAACAAATTTATTTTTGCTGGAGCAGCGCAAATTGAGCAACGCACAGCTGGAGCAACGCACTCACAGCTGGAGCAACGCACTCACAGCTGGAGCAACGCACACTCTGCTGGAGCAACACAATCTGAGCAGCGCACAGCTCGAGAGCAACGCACTGTTCGAGAGCAACACACAGCTCAAGAGCAATGCACTGCTCGAGAACAACACACTGTTTGAGAGCAACGCACTCACAGCTGGAGCAACGCACACTCTGCTGGAGCAACGCAATCTGAGCAGCGCACAGCTCGAGAGCAACGCACTGTTCGAGAGCAACGCACAGCTCAAGAGCAACACACAGCTCAAGAGCAACGCACAGCTGGAGCAACGCAATCTGAGAAGCGCAATCTCATCAGCGAACTGCTGGACAGCGCACACTCTGTCGGAGCAGGGTTAGGGTTAGGGTACAAGGGCGTTCCTGGCGAGACCCTTGGAAACATGAAAACTGTACTAATGAGATATGTAGGGATACCCTAGGACTATGTGTATGCAAAGTCTCACGGTACCCTGTTCCGCGGTGGCTGAGATATGGGCCATCAAAGTTTGGTCACTAGGTTTGAACTTTGGTGAACCTAGGTAAACTTCAATGAAGCTGGGTAAACTTCAATGAACTGGGGTAAACTTCAATGAACCTAGGAAAACTTCAATGAACCTAGGTTAACATGAATGAACCTAGGTAAATGTTGATGAAGCCAGGCAAATGTTGGTGAAGCTAGGTAAACTTTGATGAAGCTAGGCAAACTTTGGTAAGCCTTGGTAAACCCCAGTACATCTATGTTCAATGTACCTCAATCTCTGTGAACCCCAGCAAACCCTAGCCCTAGCCCTAGCCCTAGCCGGTGTGTCTTGCTTGCAGGCAATGCACAATTGCGCTCCACCAAATTCGAAATTCACGCGACTGCATTGACCCCCAACGCACTCGAAATTTACACTGCTCAAGTGCTGCAACGCAAACAAATTTATTTTTGCTGGAGCAGCGCAAATTGAGCAACGCACAGCTGGAGCAACGCACTCACAGCTGGAGCAACGCACACTCTGCTGGAGCAACGCAATCTGAGCAGCGCACAGCTCAAGAGCAACACACAGCTCAAGAGCAACGCACAGCTGGAGCAACGCAATCTGAGAAGCGCAATCTCATCAGCGAACTGCTGGACAGCGCACACTCTGTCGGAGCAGCACAATTGAGAGGAGCGCAATTGAGAGGAGCGCAATCGAGAGGAGCGCAATCACGAGCAGAGCAGGAGAGAGGAGCACAATCGACAGTAGTGCAAGAGAGAGCAGAGCGAGAGAGAGGAGCGCAATTGAGAGGAGCGCAATCGAGAGGAGAGCAACCGAGAGGAGCGCAATCGGGAGCAGAGCAGCAGAGAGGAGCGCAATCAAGAGGAGCGCTCACTCTGCTGCAGCAGCGCAATCGAGAGGAGCGCAACCAAGAGGACCACAATCGACAGGAGCTCACTCGAGAGCATAGCAGGAGAGAGCAGGGCAATCGACAGGAGAGCAATCGAGAGACCAGCAGAAGAGAGGAGCGCAATTGACAGGAGTACAATCGACAGGAGCTCATTGCAGAGGAGCGCAATCCACAGGAGCGCAATCGAGAGCAGAGCAAGAGACAAAAGCGCAATTGAGAGCAGAGCAGGAGAGAGGAGCGCAATTGACAGGAGTTCAATCGACAGGAGTGCAAGAGAAAGAAGCGCAAGAGAGAGGTGAGCAATCGACAGAAGCACAATCAAAAGGTTAGGGTTAGGGTTAGGGTTACAAGGGTGTTCCCAGCGAGACCCTTGGAAACATGAAAACTGTACTAATGAGATATGTAGGGATACCCTAGGACTATGTGTATGCAAAGTCTCACGGTACCCTAGCCCTAGCCGGTGTGTCTTGCTTGCGGGCAACGCACAATTGCACTCCGCCAAAATCGAAATTCACGCGACTGCGTTGACCCCCAACGCACTCGAAATTTACACTGCTCAAGTGCTGCAACGCAAACAAATTTATTTTCGCTGGAGCAGCGCAAATTGAGCAACGCACAGCTGGAGCAACGCACTCACAGCTGGAGCAACGCACTCACAGCTGGAGCAACGCACACTCTGCTGGAGCAACACAATCTGAGCAGCGCACAGCTCGAGAGCAACGCACTGTTCGAGAGCAACACACAGCTCAAGAGCAATGCACTGCTCGAGAACAACACACTGTTTGAGAGCAACGCACTCACAGCTGGAGCAACGCACACTCTGCTGGAGCAACGCAATCTGAGCAGCGCACAGCTCGAGAGCAATGCACTGTTCGAGAGCAACACACAGCTCAAGAGCAACGCACTGCTCGAGAACAACACACTGTTTGAGAGCAACGCACTCACAGCTGGAGCAACGCACACTCTGCTGGAGCAACGCAATCTGAGCAGCGCACAGCTCGAGAGCAATGCAGAGCTCCAGCACAACTCTTGCACTTACACCCCACAACTACTCAGCCTTACAACACCTTTGTCGACATCATGAGCCTCCTTTGCACTCTTAGCCCTTTGTTCTTGCTGCCACTACTTCTCATCATCACCGCACAACATAATCACCACTTGTCTTCATCAGCTGTTGTTCTCTCTCATGCTCACACCTCACTACCACTCTGCCTTACAACACCTTTGTCGACATCATTTCTCTCTCACACTCACACCTCACTACCGCTCAGCCTTACAGCACCTTTGTCGACATCATTTCTCTCTCATGCTCACACCTCACTACCAATCAGCCTTGCAACACCTTTGTCAACATCATCAGCCTTTGTCCTTTATGCTCTCACACCTTTGTTGACATCATTAACCTTTGTTCTTACACTCTCACACCTTTGTCCTTTACGCTCTCACCCCTTTGTTCTTGCCACTGCTGCTTTTCTCACCATCACCACACATCACCATTGCCACTTGTTTCCTCCAGGCGTTTGCTCATCATCAATCCTTAGTCGATCTTCAACCCTTTGTTCTCATCATTGCTTTGTTGCACATCACCTTTCACATCACCGCCTGTACTCTATTCCCACACTCAGCAATCCAATGTTGTTGTTCCCCATCATCATTGTGTGTGTGTCTGCACATGCATCCTTTGACTTTGTCGTTGCCAACACCTGAGCTCCTCAGCATTAGCATATATACCAGCCCTCTTTCACAGCTATGGCAAGTCTCCTCAACACTCACATCTCTCAGCACCATACCACACCAGCAACATCTAGCTCTTCTTGCTGCTAACACCAACCACAATCTACAATGTCTCAATCATCTTCCATCTCCATTGGTGCCAGCATCAACACTGCTGCTGCAGTCAGGTACGTGCTATTATCCTCTTCCTTTGCCTGTTCCTATTGATCTCCAACTGACCAGTCTCTGTCTCTTACCAAGCTTTGCTGTCACTGTCACAGTAGCAGCATCAACCCCTTCACTGAAAGCCAAGTTCCTCTTGCCATCATCAAGAACCTTGCAATGCACAGTGCCAATGCTCTTTCAAACCCTGATGATGCTTTCCCATCTCCAGTAGCTGATGACCTCACTCCTTCTGATGCCATTGACAGTGATGATGACTTGTATGTACACTGCTTCTCTCTCCAGTGTATCTTCTTGATCAGCATCAACTGACATCACTTGTGCTATCTATGCTCTCCTTGTCATCAACAGCACTTTGCCGCTCCCTGCTGCCAACCAGACTGCTCTTGCTGCTCCAGTTGATCTGAAGGTTGCCAACCAGCTTTGCAGCTTCTGCCTCTGCCTCCTCCAGCACCCTTCTCTTCTCCTCTGCACTTGCCCTGAGTGCACTCACCACCTGCCGCTCATCCCAACCTATGCCAATGTGTCTCAGCACCTCAAGTCCCACCATCATCCGCTCACCAAGACTGGCATCAAGCTGTTGGAGGAGACACTCCTTACTCTTGACCTTGTCAGCCCTGCTACTGTCAGCATCAACACCAATCTACTCCCCATCAACCTCATCAAGGAGCTTGATACATTTGATGGCTACTGTTGCAGTATCTGCGAGTATGCTGTCAAGTCGAGCTCCTCTGCATACAAGCACCAGTGCAGCAGCCATGATGGCAAGGCTTCTGTCATCCACCCTGTTCTCATTCAGCCCATCTTCACCAGTGGTCCCTTCACCTGCTATGTGTGGGTCTTCAACAGCAAGCTCGAGCCTACACCCCCTCCTGTTGCCTTCAACATCAACACAGAGGAGGTGTCATGGATGCGCAGAAGCTGGAAGACCATGAGGGGAGATGCGCAGAAGCTAGAAGATCCGTCAAGCTCAAATGAAGGGAGCGCAGGAGTCAAGGGATCGGGCGGAGTGTGGGATTTGGAGCAGAGTCCACTGAGATCGGTAATAGGATCGACTCTATGACAGATCTCATCGAGATCGGCAGGAAGGACGATGGTACTACGAGCCAGGATCAGCTCGAGGGAAGATGGTACTATGGATCCCACCAGAATCGGTAATAGGAGAGACCCTATCACAGATGCCGCGGAGATCAGCTATAGGAATGGGCGTACCACGAGCTTCTGGGGGGGGAGCGGGACCAAGCGCCGCCAAGAGGGGGACCGAGCTCAGGAGCATGCAGCTGGGGGCCACTCAGGGGCACACAAGATAGGGGACCGTCGCCGGTCGGAGGAAGGAGGGCTGTGTAAGAGAAACCGGCAAGGAGGACAGAAGGAGGAGGACCAGTGTTGAAGAAGTCGACACAGCTCAGGAGGCACAGGGGTGCCGAGCAAGCAGGGTAGCAAGGGGGAGGAGCAGTGTCGGAGGAGTCGACACAGCTCAGGAGGACAGGAGTGGTACTAGAGGGCCCCTGTACAGTACTCGACGAAGAGGGTACTCTCTGGAGAGAGAGAGCAGGAGCAGCGTCGATGGCGACGCTGTGACGAGGTATATAGCCATGCCCTCTCGTCATCAGAGGTTGAGTGGATCCTCATCCACTCTACACATACCATAACTAGTTATCACTTCAACATAAGTATATATTAGTTCCAGTCAGTATAGTAGCAATCACACAAGGTTGCTCCTCCTTGTAGTGTGTGTGTCGTATCACCACTACCTGACGTCCGAAGGCGGTTCACAGCAACCAGCGGTCCGGATATAGAGAGAACCGAAGGCAGTAGTCCACTGCGGTCCGGGGATCACTCCAAGCATCAGTCAACACACTGGACACTCGTGTCGACTTCATCAAACCTTACCAACACCAGATCCCTGGTGTCATCATCAAGTTCACACCGTGATTGATCGTGCCGAGCTACCTCTGGACGGGGTGTCCGACAGTGGTCAGTCGAAATCTGCAATAGCATTAACCCAACTGTAGATTCGAGCGAGAAAGGTAATAGAGACGGCTCTACTGCATATCTCGTGAAGAATCGCAATACCACCGGCGCTGCCGCATAACTCGGCAGAATTGGTGATAGTATTGATACAACTACTGATCCCAGGTTTCAGGCGCGCGACCCCTGACATTAGAGTGGATCGTTCAAGCAGCACCCCACGATCACGATGACAGACCAAGGCCTCAACGATAAGCTCGACCGGCTCCTAGTACTATTGGAAGCCCAACTCGAGCTCACCAGGCAAGGCCAACGAGAAGAGCGTCTTCGTCGCGCTCATCTAGGCGGAGAAGAGACGATTGAGTTCTCACCATCGGGAGAGCAGGTAGGAGGTGACGAATCCATGATAGGAGATCCCCAAACTCCTACACCGACTCCACGACCAGGACGATCGGTCTCGTTCGCTGGGGCAGAAGGGCAGGACGACATCAATTATGAAAAGTATGCCTCACCCACCGGGCCAAAGTATCTCAAACCCAGGGTAGATCCGTATAGCAGGACTGGGACGGAACCTTATGTCCCAGGCTCGGAGGAGGACCCTAGCGTATTGGCGGACCTCTGTCGATCAAAGCCAATCGCCACACCCTTCCCGAAGTTCAACCCACGAGACGTGGAGATATTCATTCTCGAAGCCGAAGCCTGGTTTAAGTTTAACCAGGTGTATGAGCAAACAAGAATGATCAACCACATGGGCTCTCAGTTGGAAGGGAATGCACGGGAGTGGTGGACCTCCAAGCTCCGAATTGACAGGGCACGGGAAGGAAGGTTATTCAATGACTGGCACTACTTTACAGAGCGGCTGTCAGAGCAATTCAATCCCCGGAACGCTAGGATGGAAGCCTACAACAAGCTGTTGGCCCTCAAACTCACTAGCGATGCACCCGGTGCCGCCACCCGCCATGTGGAATGTTTCAGAGACCTGGAGGGACAAGTCAACCTGGATGATAACGAACTCATCATCGACTTGTTCAGAGGCAGTCTCACACGTAGTCTGCAAGAAAAGTTTGAGCGTAACCCACCTGTAAAGAGGTGGGGATGGTACCGAGAGGTCGAAGATATCGACCGACAGAGAATGCTGCTACAGCAGTCCTCTACTAGGCACCCAAGCGTTGCGCCTCCACGACTGAGCCCAGGAATCCGACCAACACCAAACGCTCAGAGTTCATTCCCCGTTCGGCAACCGGCGCAAAGAAACTCCGCTCATACGCCGGCACTAATAACGGCAGGAAACCCGAGCAGACCAACCAATCGGCTGCTACCCCAGCAGTATGTACCGGGCCAGAGACAAGGAGGCCCCACCATACCAGGCAATAGCACTTGCCATATCTGCAAAGGCGTCGGACATTGGGCCAGAGACTGTCCAAGCAAGAAAGCGGACCCTCTGGGGCCACGACCTTCGGGTCCAAGAGTCATGGTAACCACGGAGGATCCCTTTGAAGAAGGGGCCACCGACTCAGGGGATGGGCATACAGGCAGCGCCGAAACGAGCGACCCCGATGACCTAGACTTCAGTCATTACCAAGTACCCATTGATGTTAGTCATGAGGAGCCCCAAGATGACGATGACGAGGGAAACGACAGTGGGGCGATGCACTGATGGCGTGCATGGCCCTACAAACCTCCTCGCCATCGTTGTGTATATATCAAGATTGCCAAATATGTTTCTCCACCAGCAAAGGAAAAGCAGTATTAGAGCTCACAGGAACGGTCCAAGACCATCCTGCTCGTATACTCGCCGACACCGGCGCTGGCTTGTCCATAGTTTCGGATTCCTTTATCAGTAAGTACCTAATACCCACAAAACCCTCAAAAACAAAATCGATTCATGGTGTCACTGGACACCAGCTCGTTATCAATAGCGCCGCAACCGTACAGGTGGTTATTGGCGAGCACAGCCTAGGTGTAGTAGAAGTATCGGTAGCCGATACCGCCGACTACGACCTTATATTGGGATTCACCGAGCTCAGAAGGCTCAAGCCCACCATACGATGGGACACAGGCCAGCTAGAGTTCAAGTCCCAGGACCGAACACAACCCCCTGAAGCCGCCGCAACTAGGGGTTTACAATCAAAACCGTCGAAATCGGTCATAGTAGCGGAACTGTCGCGGAATTCGACGAAAGCCGCCGCAACAGGCGAGCAAAAACAGGAGCTCGCCATAAGAGATAGCTTATCACCGATTTCAACGAGGTCTGTGGAAACAGGCTCCTACGAGGAAAAAATGGCACGGCCAACCCTGCATGGAAACGAGTTCGTCTCAGCGAAGCGCTTACTTCAGGCAGCTTTAGAGGACGGACCCATAGGGTTCATGCTATTGGAAGTACCGCCCCCATCACTCCCGGCCTTCGGTTTCGTTCCTACCGGCGCCGATAAAGGAGTAGAGATGGAGGTTGAGATCGAGAAGAAGGTGACGGCAGCGGATATACCAAAGCCGTACCAACACTTTCGCGATGTGTTCGACGAGGTGGAAGCGGACAGACTTCCCCAGCACACCGAACATGATCTTCACCTTGAACTAATGGAAGGAAGTCGACCGCCGCAAGGCCCGTTGTATCTCAAAGGGCCTAAAGAAATGTCTGAATTGAGGAAGTATCTGGATGAGAACCTCATGAAGGGGTTCATACGACCGTCGAAGAGCCCAGCCAGGTCACCTGTGCTCTTCGTACCTAAGAAGGACGGAGGTCTCAGGCTTTGTGTGGACTATCGGGGTCTCAATGAGATTACGGTCAAGAACAGGGCCCCGTTGCCTCTCATCGAGGAACAACTGTTCCTGCTCCGAAAGGCGAAGATCTATTCCAAGCTAGATCTCCGGGCGGCCTACAACCTCATTCGCATTGCGAAAGGAGATGAATGGAAAACCGCGTTTGGTACACAACTGGGACTATACGAGTACCTAGTGATGCCATTCGGGCTAGCAAACGCACCAGCCCATTTCCAATCGTTCATCAATGTCATCTTCCGAGACATCATCGGAGTATACGTTGTTGTATACCTGGATGACTTCCTCATCTTCAGTGACACGGAAGAAGCACACGTACGACATGTCACTGAAGTTCTCACCCGTCTGAGAAACAATAGGCTGTTTGCTAAACTGTCGAAGTGTGAGTTCCACACCACGACAGTAGAGTTTCTAGGGTACATTATCAAACCCACAGGGGTGGAGATGGATCCTGAGAAAGTACGGACAGTCAAGGAGTGGCCAATGCCGGAATCAATCCATGATATCCAAAGATTCCTTGGCTTTGCCAACTTTTACAGGCGATTCATTGCTCACTTTGCTCGAATCGCCAAGCCGCTAACATCACTGGTGAAACCGACTGAACGCTTCAAGAAGTTTGAGTTGCCGGAAGAAGCTCGACAAGCTTTCCACAAACTCATCCAAGCGTTCACGACGGCCGGAGTACTTCGTCACTTCAATTACCACCTTCCTACAAGGCTGGAAACAGATGCAAGTGACTTTGCCATCGCTGGAGTGCTCAAACAGGAGCATGAGGGACGTTGGCACCCGGTAGCGTTTTATTCAAGGAAGATGTCGTCGGCTGAGAAAAACTACGAGATCCACGACAAGGAGCTCCTAGCAGTAGTCGCCTGCCTCACTCAGTGGCGACACATGCTAGCAGGACTTCCAAGTCAGTTAGTCATCCTCACGGATCACGAAGCGCTCAAGTACTTTAAGTCGCAACGACGTATCACTGGCCGACAAGCCAGATGGGCGGTATTGTTAGCCGATTTCGACTTCGTGCTACAATATAGGCCAGGGGACAAGGGTGGCGAACCTGATGCTCTCACCAGACGAGCTGATATGCAGCCGGTCGGCGAAGAGCGGGAGCACAACGTTCGGCAACTACTGCCCCCCCGAGTGTTTGAACAAGTCAAAAACGAAATCGCGACAGGGAGCGAGTTACGGCAGATTTCAGCCGAAAACGTAATAGCAAGCATGATATTGCCGAGTTCAGCAGAATCGGTTCTAACTGCATGCTCAGGCGACGATTCCGTATCAGTGGCCCCTGTCCTCACGATGGAATCTATAGCCACGAAAGGAATCAAAGATCTGGCCAGAATCTTCCAGCCTCTGGATTCAGAGCTGCAGGAGATTCATCTAAGAAAGCCGTTCGAGATCAGAGACGCCCTATGGTATAGTGGCGGGCGGTTGGTCATCCCCAAGGTAACGATGCCAGGGAGAACCAATCACCGCCAGTCTCGAAGTGCCAAAGAAGTTGATGGACAGTCGTTGTCGGTGGAACACTTGCGATTCATGGTCATGTCTCAATGTCACGATGGCATCACAGCTGGACATGTGGGGCGGGATGCCACCATTAAGTCGGCCCAACGACACTATTGGTGGCCAAACATGTCAGCTTGGATTGCTGATTATGTGGCAAGTTGCCAAGTGTGTGCCAGATACAAGGCCCCTCGCCATCGCCCATATGGCTTGCTGCAGCCACTTGCTACCCCGGACAGGCCATGGGGCTCTATATCCTTGGACTTCATTGAAGGATTACCACCCTCAAAGGGATACGATTCAATCCTGGTCATTGTCGACAGATTGACCAAGTTTGCTATCCTGGCCCCTACATACAAAACAGTCACAGCGAAACAGACTGCTGTGCTGCTATGGGGAAATCTGGTTAGACACTTTGGTTACCCAGATCACATGGTTTCGGACCGAGGCAGGCAGTTCATCTCAGGAGCATGGAAAGCATTTGCCGATCAAATGGGCATGAAACATTCACTCAGCACTGCTTATCACCCTCAAACGGATGGACAAACGGAAAGGGTCAATCAGGTAGTCGAGCAGTACCTTCGTATGTACTGCAACTATGAACAGAATGACTGGGCCGGCTTGCTCAACACTGCAGCGTTTGTGTACAACAATACCGTACACAATAGCATCGGTGTCTTGCCGTTCTTTGCATGTTATGGATGGAACCCGAAAGCCCATCCTGACATCCCTCAACATCTAGGAGTGAACAACCCCGATCGTTCTGAGTACTTGCTAGATGGTAAAGAGCGCTGCAAGTACCTTCAAGAACAGATAAGGGAGGCACAGCGTCGTACGGTTGACCATTATAACCGGAGACACAAGGACATAGAATTCAAGGTTGGCGACATGGTTTATATCAACCGCAAGAACTGGAAAACGAGATGGCCCACACCAAAGCTGGACACCCGGTTCGCAGGACCTTATCCAGTACAAGAACGGGTGGGCCGACGAGCCTATAGAATCACATTGCCAGCAAACCTCAGAGTTCATGATGTGTTCCATGTGTCCTTGCTCGAACCAGCAAGGAATAGTTCCATTCCTCAGCGATCGACACAACCAATCGTACCATCACTACCAGACGAGGATCTGGACTTCGAAGTTGAAGCCATTGTCGGCAAGCGTTCACACAACGGGGCGACACAATACAAGGTGCTTTGGAGGGGGTACCCAGAGGAGGCTGCCTCTTGGGAACCATTGTTGCATCTCAACTGCCCTGACCTCATCCGGGAGTATGAGGTTTCGGCGAGGGGACGAGACTAAACAAGCACGAGGGGAAGGAGAAATTGGTAAGAAGGGGAGAAATTGGTAAGAAGGGTGTTAGAACCGATTTGAGCGAAAAAGGTGAGAGTAAAGGCGCTATTACGGATTATGCGGGAATCTGTCATAGTACTAATGGTATGGCAGATTTGGAAACTACTCTCACCATACGAGAGGAGGGTCAAGAGCATGGTACTCAACAGCCAGGCTCATAATCAACCTCACAAGAGTCAGGTCACAGACTCAAAAAGTCGTCAAGAAGTACAGGCAAGTAAGAATTACAGGGATGTCGCTATATGTCGACATACCCGGATGGGACACGAGGAGCAGCAAGGGCCGCGCGGGTCCACCGCTCATTGACCGTGGGCTCCACCCACAAATCAATTGGGTCCGGAGGACCGCCAGACTCGGTGACCGACTCATGAGGCTGGCGCTCAGAGTACAACTGGTCCTGACGCTCAACAAAGAGTTGGAGCGCCCGGAGAATGGAACTTACCAATTCCGGCCGGCGAAGATGAAAGACCACCCGCATCGCGGTCACCCAGCCGCCACTCATGACTGGGTCGAAAGTTCGCTCTTCCGAACGAATAAGACCTGGACCGTCTCCACCCGCCACGGTCAAGTGGGCCCGCTCTGCCTGATGCGAGCCCCGGGGCTGCAGGTTGGGGGTCCCATCGCCAGGATATTCCATACCCGGATGGGCAGGAATGACACGCTCGCAGTGACCCAGTCCGGCGAGGTAGCAGTGCGTACACGCACGAGGAATTCGGTTGCGCTCACCAAACGGGTTGGTGAAGGCGGAAGCAAAGCAACTATAGGAGGTAGGTAAGAGAGGGTCAGTATCAGTCGGACCAGGGGAAACAGGGGAAAGAAGGGGGGAACTCACGGAATACCCAGGTTGAAGCACCGGCGGCATTGCCAACTAGGCCATGGCATGCAGCTTTCGGTCAGGCGCGACATGGCCAGGCGATGCAAGCGGCGCTCGGGGATCGAACCATGAGGCACATCCCAAGCCAAGGGGTAGTGCCGGTCCGCGATCCGGGCCACGAGGTCGGCGACGACGAACCTCTCAGCCCAACCAGCGATCTCACCATTTGTTGGAAGGTGGTGATCGGGAGGAGGGGGAGGAGGAGAGTGACGATTCCTCCACCGAGGAGGAGGCGTCAACGGCTGAACCTCCAGCCGATAAACGGGAGTACCCTGCCGGGGGGCATCCAGGATCGAGTCGACGACCTCGTTGGCCGTCGGAGGAGGAGTTGGCGTTCTGGTTAACTCGGCCTCCCAGAGTGCCTGGCGCTCGGGAGTGGTCAGCTCCCGAGGAGGCCTGTGGGCGTCCACCTCGTAAAGGTCAGGACGAGGAGGCGACGCCGGGGAATAATCTTCGCCTGCCCGGGCAGGCACAGCGAGAGCAGGAGGGGGGGACCCCGACTGACCGGAGACGACAGTGTCGTCACCCACCCCCAAGAAAAGCGGCTCCAGTGGAGAAGCAGGAACCGCCAGGGAATCGAGAGGATCGACCAGGCGGGCTGGCACGGGCGAAGCAGGAGGCTCGGCTGCAGGAGCCGAGTTGTCACGAGGACGAAGCCGGACGACAATCTGACGACGTCTAGGAGGGGGAGGAGGAGTACTTGCGGACGCCCGTGAGCGAGTATGGTAGGGTGGATTCGTCATGCTGGAAATGGGTGGGGGGCAATGACAAAAAGGCAGGAAGTTGGTGGTATGGGACAGGCATGGTGCAAGACTTGCCTCGACGGAGCTCGGCTCTTAAGCGGGGGGTAATGTCATGGATGCGCAGAAGCTGGAAGACCATGAGGGGAGATGCGCAGAAGCTAGAAGATCCGTCAAGCTCAAATGAAGGGAGCGCAGGAGTCAAGGGATCGGGCGGAGTGTGGGATTTGGAGCAGAGTCCACTGAGATCGGTAATAGGATCGACTCTATGACAGATCTCATCGAGATCGGCAGGAAGGACGATGGTACTACGAGCCAGGATCAGCTCGAGGGAAGATGGTACTATGGATCCCACCAGAATCGGTAATAGGAGAGACCCTATCACAGATGCCGCGGAGATCAGCTATAGGAATGGGCGTACCACGAGCTTCTGGGGGGGGGAGCGGGACCAAGCGCCGCCAAGAGGGGGACCGAGCTCAGGAGCATGCAGCTGGGGGCCACTCAGGGGCACACAAGATAGGGGACCGTCGCCGGTCGGAGGAAGGAGGGCTGTGTAAGAGAAACCGGCAAGGAGGACAGAAGGAGGAGGACCAGTGTTGAAGAAGTCGACACAGCTCAGGAGGCACAGGGGTGCCGAGCAAGCAGGGTAGCAAGGGGGAGGAGCAGTGTCGGAGGAGTCGACACAGCTCAGGAGGACAGGAGTGGTACTAGAGGGCCCCTGTACAGTACTCGACGAAGAGGGTACTCTCTGGAGAGAGAGAGCAGGAGCAGCGTCGATGGCGACGCTGTGACGAGGTATATAGCCATGCCCTCTCGTCATCAGAGGTTGAGTGGATCCTCATCCACTCTACACATACCATAACTAGTTATCACTTCAACATAAGTATATATTAGTTCCAGTCAGTATAGTAGCAATCACACAAGGTTGCTCCTCCTTGTAGTGTGTGTGTCGTATCACCACTACCTGACGTCCGAAGGCGGTTCACAGCAACCAGCGGTCCGGATATAGAGAGAACCGAAGGCAGTAGTCCACTGCGGTCCGGGGATCACTCCAAGCATCAGTCAACACACTGGACACTCGTGTCGACTTCATCAAACCTTACCAACACCAGATCCCTGGTGTCATCATCAAGTTCACACCGTGATTGATCGTGCCGAGCTACCTCTGGACGGGGTGTCCGACAGTGGTCAGTCGAAATCTGCAATAGCATTAACCCAACTGTAGATTCGAGCGAGAAAGGTAATAGAGACGGCTCTACTGCATATCTCGTGAAGAATCGCAATACCACCGGCGCTGCCGCATAACTCGGCAGAATTGGTGATAGTATTGATACAACTACTGATCCCAGGTTTCAGGCGCGCGACCCCTGACAGGAGGATGCAGCTTTCAAGGAGCAGCTGGAAGCATTCTTTGCCAAGGATGCAGAGCTAATGGCAAAGGCAGATCTGGACATGGAGGGCATTCAACCACGAACTGTGACTGGCAATCTCAGCCCATGGCTCAAGCAGCTAGGCTGGCAGGAGTACTGGGCTGGCAAGCCAGTGGCAGCCATTGGTTCCCTTGGCTGCAACCCTCACAAGTGGCCAGGTGCCCACCAGGACTTCCTTCACTGGCTGCTTGGCATGACACAACAGTGTACACAGCAGTGGATGGAGGCACTTCTTCAATCTGGCCGCCAGGTGCAGCAAACCTTCCATGCCTTTGACAACACCCCTAGCCATCCATACTCCCTTGATCAACCCACAGTCATCAAGCGTGCTGACTGCTGGGCAATGCTCATCACCATGCTGGCTCATGTCATGCTAGATGGCAAGGTTCTTGGCTACTATGGTGATGATGATCAGGATGCACACCTTGGCATCAGTGAACAGCTTGCAGGGCTCATTGAGGACCTTCAGGACCTCTTCCATGATCCCAATCTGGATGTTGACATCTCCATGCATCCTGATGTGGTTTTGCAAGCATTTAGTGGCATCCAGTTGATCAGTGTCTACCTCATCACCCAAGATCCTCCTGCCTATGGTGAGCTGGAACGTCTTCCTCTGCTATGCACCTTCCTCCACCTCTGCCTCTCTCCTGATGGCACATCCAAGCCGGTCAATACAGCAACCTCGATCCTGGCCAACTTGGAGTTTGCATTCTGTGCAGTGATGCATCACCACCTTCTCCACCCAGAGCATGGCACTCTCATTGGCAAGCCAGTCCCAGAGATCAACAAGGGGGTTCAAGCAGTTATGAAGTGTTACCTGTTCAACAACAGCTACTCGGCAAGTGCTCATCTGCAATCCCTTCTCTGCTATGGGACCAAGCTGGCTAAGGATGATGGTGGCAGCCTCTACTTCCGGTGGTCTGAGGATAGGAAGCTGGTGACTTATGGCACCAACACAATCAAGATCAGCCGCCTTCACACCCTTGTCCAAGGCACCTTGGACCGTGCCACCTCTCTGTTGGAGCAGCTGCTGCTGAAGGATGGTGCCTTGTCCGAGCATGTGGATCTGTCTACATACAAGGACCACTTCTGCAACAGGGAGCCAGGCTACAGCTTTGTTACTGCTACAAAGCAAGATACTGGCACCTTTTGCCTCCGTCAGGCTCTCAAAGGCTTTCCTCAGCATCAACCACTCCTTGATACTTGCTCAGCAGAGCCAGAGTTTGACACGGCTGCTGCCCATGCCTACTTTGCCCTTCACAATGAGTTCAACAAGCTCCTTGCTGTGCTCATTGAGCTCACCAGTGGTCTGCTGGCAAGAGGCACAGAGCTGGTCAAGCTGCAGCACACCAACACATTGGTCAGCCAGCGCAACCTCTTCCTTGCTGATGGTCACTTTGTCACTGTGCTTGCCAGCAACAAGGGCAAAGGTCCATCCAAGCTCATCCCTCGCTTCCTCCCTCATGCTGTTGGCCAGCTGGTGCTCTTTTACGTCATGGAGGTAGTGCCTTTCCTGCACCTCCTCTTCAACTCGGTAGAAGTTGCATGGGAGCCAAGTGCTCTCCTCCTTGTCAATCACAGGGGTCAGCCATGGCAGACCAATGACATCAGCAAGACATTACAGAGTCTTTGTCAGGAGTTTGTTGGCCCATCAGCAAGTTCTCTCCACATACGCAACTGGCGGCAGCTGTCAGTCAGCATTGACAAGGTGCTCATCTGGCCTGGCCTTCCCTCAGATGAGTATGCTGACCATTCTCACGACTTGCAAGCTGGTCACTCCACGTCTACTGCTCAGCAGCACTATGGTCTGGACAGCAGCATGCTACTTGAACTGACACAGGAGAGCTTGGATTGTATGCTCTCTGTCTCCAAGAGGTGGCATGCATTCTGGTGTCTGGCTTCACG